TTCGTAGCTTTCATTTGCTGTGAAATCCTCCTCATAATAGTCAAAGGAGTCCTCCATGTTTCCTGCCCAAAAAAAGTAACATTTAGAGAAACATTTGTTTTATTTTAAATAGGGAAACAAAAAAAGCCATTCTAATGTTTTCACGTACATGTCCAGAGGCAGAGTTTACAAAGGAACAGGAAATGGGAAATTCTGTTTATTTTTCTGAGGAATCTTTCCTGCACAGCTTCTTTAAAGACTGAAGTTCTGTTTGTCTGAACTCTGTGTGGGCTTGAACAGAACTAACAAACAAAACTTGAAATAGGCCAGTGAAAAGGAAAAGCAGACTTGAGGAGCTTTAAAGCTAATTTTTATTTATCTCTATTTTATGAAAACCTGCAGTATTGATCAAAACACACCACATGGTTGAAGATCAAACTTCTGGGTGAGAATTTTTTTTATGAATTTATTGGCATTTTTGGATGGAATTGGCTGACAGCACTTGTCAAAAAAAATGGGTGGCATAAAAAAGGGTCCAGGTCTGTAATATGTTATATAATGAGCCATAATCTCTTGACTGGGAGGGGTAGCATTTTAATAAAACGGATGTTCATAGGAACATTTAAAAATATGCCAAGAATTCAATGCTGTCTACACTGTGTGTCACATAGAACAAGTTAAAACATGCCTTTATTTATTTTTTTACAGCAGCACTTTTAGTCACCACACCCCCAAATACAGAATATTTATGAATTATTTAAAAAGGAATATAAATGAAAGACTAGTTTGGACATACATTTTAAATAAAATCAGAATATGTGTCTTATGCTGATTATAGTGTTTTTTGGCCACAGTTGCAAAAATCTATCACACATTGAAACTTAAAACTCCTTAAGTGCCAGTTTTTGTGTGTCAATGATTTTTTTTTTCAGTAATATTGCAATGTTTAATCACGTTGTTGACTACTAAAATGTTTATTCAAAGCTGAATAGTGAGAAAACTCAATTGCAGAGGGCTGTTTGTAAGATAACATGCTAAATTTAGCTTTCCTTCACTCTGTGACATAACGTCATAAAAGTTCCAAAATCAGAACTTGACCTGAAGTCTACTTTAGACTGTTTAAAACACAACCTAATGATTTGTGATGTCCTTGTAAAAATGTAGACTATATTCAGAATTAACCAAATAACTTTTAAGATGTTAAAAATGCAGTAGTGCATCCTCAGAACATCTCTATAAGCTCAGTTTGTGTTAAAAATGCACAAAATGACAGATTCTTACCTGTTGTCTGATGATTTTGAAGTGTACAAAGATATTTCTAATCAGTTGATTACACACTCAGAGTTGTGTATCTTGAGGAGACATGCCGTATGTGATCCAGGACCGAAGTGACTAACTTCTGCCTCAACCCTCCCCACTCTCTTCACTGAGAGCATGCCCCATCACCACGTAGCTCTGAGCACACTTGTGTGTGGGTGTGTGCATCCCTGAGTGTAACATTCCCAGTGTATATTAGTACAAACTAACTTTACTTTGTTCACATTTTGTCATATACTCTTAAACAATAACGTTTTTCCAAATATCTACATGTGCTCTATGAAGCTATGCAGGGAGTGTTCCAAGTGTTGCTTTTTGTTTGTGTGGTTGAGGGGAAAAGTGAGATGAGTATTTTAAATAAATAATAAATCTTTCTTATTCAAAAAGCCTCTTTAAATTAGAATGTAATGCCGCCATGATTGGTTTGAGACATCATCTGGTATTTAAGCAGGTGATGTTACTGTTGTAGGTTCTATTTTGTTTTTTAATATAGCCCAAGTACAATGAAGTTGTGTAAAAATATCCCACATTGTCTTCTTTGTGAATCTATTGTGGTGGAGGGGTTTGCGTGCCAGTTATGCTGTCTGAGGCAGATGCCTCTGTTAGGGTCTCCAGGGGAAGATTGGTCCTAGGTGACATGCGAGACAAAAAGCAATTCAGAACACTGCTATGGACAGAGAACAAGAACCTTGTTGTCTTTCGTCTGGATGTAGGTTACCGTGGCCCCCTGGAGCCAGACCTGTGGGAGGGGCTCATCGGTGAGCACCTGGTGACTGGGCCTATAAAAATTGGGCCTGGTCACGCTCAGCCTGAATAATTTACATGGGTTTGCCTTCCTGTGAGCCCACCACCTGCACAAGGGCCATGCAAGTCAAATGCATAGTGCCATGGGTGTAAGCCCAAGGCAGGGGTCTTTGTGATCTGACCCTGACCCTGACCGTGCCTGTGCACTCCAAGCTGCAAGATGGTCTGTGCCATTTTCAAACCCATTGGTTGATACCCTGGGTGAGTGAGCCCACCAAGCTGAAGAAGGAGTCCTATTAGGCCTTGTTGGCTGGTAGGACTCTGGAGAGAGCTGTGGGGCAGCTCTGGAGCAGGTCAAGTGGGCTGCAATCCAGTGGTTGTTGCTGAGTCAAAAGCACATAGTGGGAGGAGTTTGAGTCCGTGGATAGATTCTTGATAGTCTCCAAGAAGATTCTGGCAACCCATCAGGCAGCTGAGGTGGGGAAAGTAGCACTTAATGTGGAGTGTGTAGTGGAGGTGTGAGGTGCTTTTGACCTCAACCACAGCTAGTGATGTTGTCAAGCAGTGAAAGGACTACTCAGACCTTCTCAATCCCTTCAGCATATTTTCCATTGAGCTGAGTTGGGGGACTTGGCGATTGGTCCATCCATAACCGGGGCTAAGGTTGCAGAGGTAGTTCAAAAGGTGGCAGAACTTCGGCAGTGGAGAAGCTCTGCCCTGAGTTCCTTAAGGCTCTGGATGATGCTGGGCTGTCTATGATGGCACACCTTTGCAACATTGCATGGACATCAGGGGCAGTGTCATTGGATTGGCAGACAAACTCCTCACAAGATGGTTCCTATCTTTAAAAAAGGGGGACCAGAGGGTGTGTTCCAAATATTGGAGCATTACTCTCCACGTAAGGTCTATACGTAAGGTCTTTAGGTCTAAGGAGTATTAGAGAATGGAGTTCAATAGATGGTCATACTTCAGAAACATAAAGAACCATGTGGGTTTCTTTCCAGACGTGAAACATTCAACCAACTCTTTACCCTCACAAAGGTCCTCTAAGGGTCACCGGGGTTTGTCCATTAAGTCATAGATGTGTTTTTTGGACTAGAAGGCTTTTGACTGTATTATTCAAGGGACACTGTGGGGGGTGGGGGAGGGGTGCTCCATAATTATGGGATTGGAGGTCAGTGGCTACGGGCCTTTCAGGCCCTATACAAAGGTTGCAAGAGTTTGGAGTGCCAGCAGTAAGTCACACCTGTTCAGAGTAGGAGTTGGACTTGGGCAGAGCAATTTCATTCATAACATTTATGGAAAGATTTTCTTTATGCAGTCGGGTGGAGAGAGTCTAATTTGGTGACCTCAGGATTCCATTTCTGCTATTTGCAGATGTGGTCCTTTTTGCATCATTGTGCTGTGATCTTCAGCTCTCACTGGAGCAGGTGTGAAGCAGGTGGGATGAGTATCAGCACCTCCAAATCTGAGGCCATGTTCCTCAGTCCAAAAAGTGTAGATTGCTCACTACAGGTTCAAAGTGAGGAGCTGCTTCAAGGGAATAAGTTCAAGAATCTGCTTTGCTCAGGAGTGAGAGTAGAATGGAGTCTGATATCAACAGATGGATCTGTGCACCTTCTGCAGTATTGCAGACTCCATGTTAGTCCATTGTATACCAGTCTGTATAAAATCCTACACTCACCTATGATCAATAATTTTGGGTAGTGACTGACGGAACAAGATTGTGGATACAAGCAGTCAAAAATGAAATTTCTTCACAGGGTAGTAGGACTCTTCCTTAGAGATAGAGTGAGGAGTTCAGAGAGTCTGAGTAGAGCCATTGCTCCTCCACATCAAGAGGACCCAGTTCAGGTGGTTCAAGCATCTGGTAAAGATGTCCCCTGACTTAGGGAGGTTTAATGGGCATGTCTGATAGGGAGAAGACCCCAGGGAAGACATAGGACATGCTAGAAAGACTGTCTCTGGGTTGGCCTGGGAACACCTTTGAATCCTCACAGAAGAGTTGGAAGAAGTTGATGTCTGGGCCTCCCTGCTCAAACTGCTGCCCCTGAACCTGACTTCACAACAAGGGAAGATAATGGATGGTAACCATAGATGGATGCAAACCACATTGTGTAAAGCAGTTTGAAAAAAATGGGATATAAATATGAAAAGTATGTTTCCCTAAAATAATGTTTTTAAGGCTTTTTGTCAATACAATTTTTTAAAGTGATGTAATTACTCTTTAAAAAAATACTTAGAGAATATAAGAAATTTGTGATGATTACTGAGATCTGAAAGGTTTGTTTTCATTCCATCCTGGATACGTGACATGTACGGGCATGACGGCAGGGTTTACCTTGTATTATGGACTGGGTGACTTGTGTAAAGGTTCAAGTGAAATTCCAACTTGTCCTCAAACTAAACAGGCTTTCCTTCATGTGGTTTATGGGTGGAGTGGAGTTGCGTGTAAACGTTACGCTTTGTTGCAGTGCTGACATAATCGCTTAATGTTTCATTTTAGACAGTTGAAAAACTAAACATCTGTCAAAATAAGTTGGTTGAAAGCATTCGCAAGCTCTCACACATGCTCTGAATATTTATAAAGTTGCATCTTGCATGTTTTTGTCTGGTGTCCATATGTCCTTGTCCTTAGTTTTTCCAGCTGGACAGAAATTAAAACAGGAGATCATTGCTCATCCATTTATTTCCATTTGGTCACCTGAGTTTGACTTAAGTGGATTTAAAACTAGGTCCAAACTGGACTGAATTTGATAGGTTTATTTTTTATTTACAATTCATCAGATCAGTAAATTTACTCTGATGTGCAAAATGCAATACAAAACGAAAATGCTTATTATCTGTAATACAGAAAACAAAGGGACCAAACTAAAAACATGACAGAAAAAAAAAAGAATTGTACATCAAAACAAAAAAAACACTTCAAAGTACCGGCATGCAGCAACAGCAAAACTAACTATGAAAACGGAAAATAGTAATGAAACAAAGGCATCATAAGGAAGCATTATGGAGAAAAAAGTCCATAAAATTAAAAAAAAATAAAAAGTAAATATTTTAGTTGCTTGGTTATAAAAAAAAAAAAAAATTGCTGCTGTTTTCTTATATACTTTTTTTTTTCCCTTTTAAAGATTACTATAAAATGTTTTTGCACCTCATGTCCACTGTTGGCAGTTTGAGATACCGGTATGTGACATTGCTCTCTAGTGGCCGTTTTCTATCACATTTCAAAAATTTGAACCAACAAAAAGAAGCAGTTTTCACTTACCAGTAATCTCAAGCAAATGTGTTCTTCTTCCAATTCTGAGTGAAAACCAAAACAATCTGACTCGGGAAACACAAATCAGCTTGTGGCTTTTCTCTGTTGTTGTGTCGTTAATCTGTCGCCAGCTCCGTCCAAGACTACAACTTCCCAACATGCACCGTTTCCGAACATTTTCAGATCATGCAATAATTAAGGACAGGGCCAGACTGTGAAGTTAGTTGCTCCGTTGTTTGGTGTAGGAAGTAATTGTACGAGAATGAAAGTCAGACTCAAGATTTTTGCTTTGCCCCCTTCAGGTGCCGGCAATTCCAAATGCAAAGTGGCCATTGTGATGTGTAGGAGCAGCTCTGAGGATGTTGGCAGCAGGTCAGTACAGCAGTCCAGAGGTGACAGATGTTTGTTTCTTGTAAACTGGGAGGGGTGGTGGTGTTCGTTGCGTTTGTGCAGAAACTCGGGCCTTTTGTTTTATCTTTTAACCCTCTGATGTTCTTGTCTGTGCAAAAGCTTGAAAATACATTTTCTCCAATCAGATGTCCAGTCCTTCTATAGGAACTAAATTAACACCAATCTCACCTGATCATTTTAATGTTGACACAAAAATTTGGCACTAATCTATTTCCCCCCATCTCTACAAGCAAGTTGGAGATTATTAAAAAATCAATAACAGACACACCCATGATATGTAATGCACTTTCTTTATTCTGATACATCCACATTTCTTGGAAGGAAATCAAGTGTGTGCTCTCACCAGTATTATTAGCTTTAAAATGTATCAAATGACATGTTATTCAAGTTAAAACACTTGAATCTTTCATACCTTCAGAGCTTTAATTGTAAATGTATTTTTTAGACATGAGCAGCACAGTATGATCATCGTACCCATGGACACTCCAGGTGTAAAGCTCATCCGACCGATCACCGTGTTTGGACAAGATGGTGAGACTCGGTTTATTTCTGTAGTCTTGTCCTGTTTTCAGTACTTTATTTTTACTCACACAAAGGTTGAGCTTTTACTGACTTGTTTTTACCCGTCTGAGCACAGATGCCCTCCATGGTGGCCATTTTGAGGTGCACTTTGAAAATGTACATGTCCCTACAGCCAACATTATTCTGGGTAAAAGCTCCATTTTTCGTATGGATTTTTTTTTACACATGTAAAGTATAATGTCAATATTTAATGTGTATTTTTTTTTCCCACCATTTTATTTTCTGTCTCAGGAGAAGGCAGGGGGTTTGAGATTGCTCAGAGGCGCCTTGGCCCGGGCAGGCTGCACCACTGTATGAGAGTTGTTGGTTTAGCCGAGTTTGCACTGGAGCTCCTGTGCCAGCGAGCCGCCTCCAGACAAACCTTTGGAAAGAAACTGTACCAACATGTTAGTGAAGTCTGAGATGTTTCCAACTTTAGATTCATGACAGTGCTGTGGTATATTTGGCTCTTGTGGGATTTTCAGGCACAGCTCAACTAAACCTGCTGTCTTGTGTCATGTTTAAAGGAAGTTGTTGCTCACTGGATAGCAGAGTGCCGCATTATGATAGAGCAGACCCGCTTGATGACTCTCTACGCTGCTCATGCTCTGGATACACTGGGCAGTCGTGCTGCTCGCAAGCAGGTAAAACTAGTAATAGTCTGTTTCATACGACATGCAGAGCTTAAAACTGATCTATGGTTTATGCCACACGTTCATCGCCTGAAGCATAAGGCACTGCTGCACTTTTGCAGTCTCTTGTGCATTCCAGGACGTTTATCCAAATCTGCATGTTTAGATCAAGGCTCTTTATAAGACGCGTAGATTCTTTCTCCATCTTTCTTAGATTGCTATGATCAAGGTGGCAGCAGCCAGAATGGTTTGTAAGGTGGTGGACTATGCCATCCAGGTCCATGGAGGTGCAGGGGTGTCTGGAGACTTCCCTCTAGCACAGATGTAAGGTTTTTCACTTTTACCACGTAAATAAGGATGTTTAGGAGTCTCGGTTTCTAACCTTTAAACATATTTCCAGGTACTCGTATGGCCGAACCATGCGCATCGCTGACGGACCGGATGAGGTGCACCTTTCCACCGTAGCAGCTCTAGAACTGAAGGACCAGCTGAGGAAGATGCAGGCCAAGCTGTGAGCAGGTGGCTGCAGCTTGAACTGTTGGGATTATCACTGGAACATTTTCCTTATTCAAGTGAAATGGGATCAATATTTGAAGTTGAAAGTGATGAAGATATTTAATCAAATCTGACAGCGTTCTCCCCATTTTATATCTTCTGTGATCTAGTCTAAACCTTTGAATGGTTTATAGCTTTTGTAAACAAGTCCCGCTCATCTTGTTGTGGAAGTTAAAATTAAGACTGAATAAATACGCTACTACTGTGAATAAAAATTGAAACGCACTTATTAGGAATTCATTTTAATGTGAACTACAAAAACAAAAATCAACAGCATGAATGTAAGACATGTCCTCACACAATACGTGTGGTCTACCACATGGATGAATTCCACTGGGAAGGGAATCAGGACACAAGCACTTTTTATTATTTTTTTACAATATAAAACAGCACTGGCCTCATCTGGTTGATTAACCAGATGGAAACCCCTGCAACCCCCCCCCCCCCTTCACACACACACGCACAGTTGTCCTGACACTAACATTTGGGCAAAGATCTTCAGCTGCCAATCGGTCCAAAGATGAGAAGAATGAGGGGGCTGCTTTCAAACATGAGAAAGACGTCAGTGTTTGCTCTTCTTTGACTTTTTGTGAGATCTGTGAGGAGACTTTGATCTGGAGCGGGACTTCTTTGTTGATTTCTTGGGTGTTTTGGACCGTGACCGCTTCGATCGTTTAGGTGTGCGAGGTGAAGATGGTGACCTAAGTGACATTAATAAATGTTAATTACACATTTATAAATAAATTTAGGACTATGATAAATAGCTCATCCCATCTCACCTCTTGGATGATTTCTTGTTGCTGGATCGAGGGGAGTCTTTATGGGATGAGCGGGAAGTCGTGTCTTTAGAATAAGATCGATCAGAGCGTTCTGACCTTTCTGAGCGAGGGGACGTGGACCGCCCTCGTTTGCTGTTGCTCCTCGTCGGACTGGGAGACCCGCTGTGATGTCGCTTCCTGAAAACCAAAGAGGACCTGTCAGATAACTTTAAAAACTAAAATCACACTGTTGGGCCCTGAGGGGGCTGCCTCACCTCTCCTTCCTTGTCGGGGTGTCATCCTTCTCCTTTTCTTTCTTCAGCTCTTTCAACCGCACCTCAACTTTCTCCTTTTCTTTTTTCTCTCTCTCTTTCTCCCGTTCTAATTTTTCCTTCTCCTTTTCCTAAAAAAAATAAAATAAATTGAAGTTACTTTTACCATTAAGAGTAATTAAATATCAGCAGTTGTAAATCACTCATACTTTCTGTAGTAGTTTGTCTCTGTAGTGCTCCACCTGCTCCTGAATACTCTGACCAGGTTTCTTGGGTCTTTTCCCAGATTCCAGTTCATCCTGGAACTTCATGACTTTAACCTGTTTGAAAAACAAAAATTAATTCAGCGAAACAATGAAATAAAATCACCCCAACGTTAACTATATGAGCTGATAACTGCAAACAACCTCGATCTCTCGGAGTTTGCTGCGTTTTTCCTCGTTCATTTCGGATAGTTTGGCCTTGAAGTCTGGATCGTCTCTGATGGGGTTGGAGTAGCTCAGGTTGTCATCTGAGCGAGGGCTCCTGTCCTCCTCATCACTGTCCTCAACCCTACAGAAGGAGACCGCCAATAAAAAAGATGCTCTGAAGAACTTGGACCAATATTGTTAAGATATAAAGTGGAATACTTACAGTTTTGATTCTTCTGGTTGCTCAAATACTTCCCATTTCGAGGTTGTTACAGCTGAGTAAACGTAAGAATCAAAGGAAACATTATGCTTTTAATGCAACTGGAGCACAAAATGAGATCAAAACGTCACAACATATTCTACCATCTTACCTTGAGCCTCCAACTCTGCCTCATCCACCGCTTCCCATTTTGATGGAGCTACTTTGAACTCCTTCGACTGATCAACTACAATCATCCAGAGTAACAATTTAGCAAATACATTCACCACCATTATAAACACCAGCTTAAAGCATGACTCACAAGGTATTCCATCAATGTCATCCTCCAACTGCTTGATGGGAACTCCATCCAAGTCATCCAGAGGGGCTCCATCGATCAGTGCCCCATCAAGGGCCCTTGCATCAATGGGCACCCCGTCTACATCCTCCAGCGGCGTGCCGTCTACATATTCACCCAAAGGAGCCCCGTCGAGGTCGTCTGCTGGCTCCGGCTGTCTCAAACACATACAGTGCCTTGAAAAAGTATTCATACCACTTCGACGTTTCCTCAATTTACTGTCGGTTACAAACTTCTAAATATTTTTGTGGACATTTTATGGATACACCAACATTTTTAGGTAAAAGGAAAGTCATGCACATTAGTTTTTACAATCTTATTTTATTTTTATTGCCCAATAGCTCTCAGGACTTTTAGCTAACAGTGATATTAAATTTTATTTGATTAAAATTTCAAACTTGATCTTTAAAATATTAATTGCAGATAACAGATACATTTCCAAGAGGTCGTGAAATATGACGATTTTAAACAGCATCAGTCAAATTCAATTGGGTTTTCTTTCTTTATGCATAACTATGTATCAAAATAAGTATAGATGTTAAACAGATGTAATCTATTATTTAAATAGTAATAATGAGTAGATTTTTTTTGTATTTAAATAGAAAACTTATTCCAGCTTTTCCCATTTCAAGGTCCCCACAGCGAGTCATCTTCTCTGTATGGTGTCGTTTAGATGAACTCGCATTAGTTTTGGCATAAGTGTTTTTACATCGGATGCCCATCCTGACACAACCCTCACATTTACTTGGGCTTACACACCGACGTGCTCACTAGTGTCTGGTTTTAAAAAAAAACCACATCGTCATATATTTATTTATTTTAATAACATGACACTGGTCCGAGCCTGAACTGAAGTAGGAGAGGTGAAAGGTCCTAGAAGCCAAATTAAGAGAATCTGAACATTATAGTGTTGAAAAGCAGCGCTCCATCATTTACCTCTGCAACAAGACATGGGGCCTCCTTTTCTGAAGAGAGATTAACAAGACCCAGGAAGATGTTCTGCAGCTTGATGAGGAAAGGATCGGGGTACACAGCCCAGTCCTCCCACGCCCGGAAACATGCCATCACCCTTTGCTACAACAGAAGGACAAAAATTACAACGGGGAGAGCGTAGTGATCCGAACCACTCGCTCCATCACTGTCCATGCACAGGATTATTACCTTAAAGTTCTCACTCTGAAGATGTCCCTGGATTGCTTTGTATGTGGCATTGAGATCTGAGAAAATCTGGCTGAGCTTTGTCTCAAAACTATTGAAAACAAGGACAAAGTCATTGAACGATGAACGACTCGTCTAAAAAAAAACAGTAATTTGATCCATTAGAAAACAACTTACTATTTTCTGTAGTAAGACGCATTCGACACTTTGGCTGATGAGTTGTAAAGCACATCAGAAACTAGATATAACCGTGCGATCTGAAACGTTGAAAGCGACGTGTGAGCTGGTGATTCTAAAGATCGTTAGATTAACTGTAGTGGGTTTGACGTCACCTTTTTTGGTAAAGCCGTCTTCAGGATGGAGAGAGACTCTGTGATGCACTCGACAATCTCCTCAGCTGCGTCAGCGTGGTTCAGACAGAACAGCATGGCCTCCGCTATATCTCCCCTCCGAGGAGTCAAACCTCGAAGCATCTCCTCCAATTTGTCTCGCTCCCTGTTGACATAAGAAACGGTTAAACATCAGTTTAACTAGTTATGATTTGTTATCTTGTTATGTACTTAAGAAATCTAACATTAAAATGTGTGAAACTTTGTAGAAATACAAACTTACTCTTCTTTTAAGCAGCCTTTCTTGTTGGCCTCCTCCTCTTCCTCCCCTTCCTCATCATCGCAAGAACCGTGAACGTAAAGGTTAAGGGGCGGTGGACGCCACAAGGAGCCATTTTTAAACATTCTAAAGTCATCTGTTCGCCATTTGAATGGTGTTTCACCCTGAGGGAATAAATAATTAGCTTAAATTGTCACAAAATTATTTATTTTTTCCCACTCTGAGTTAGACAACACTAACAGTTCATATGTAACTGAAGCCTTTTTTTTTTTGGTTACCTGTAGTATGGTGTAAAGTTTCCATCGGTAATACACATGCGCCGGGCTCTGGTTGTCAAATAAAAACCTGAAAGTAAACCAATTACAACCATTAAAGTCTGCAGAGATAATACGCGATCACTTGATGATGTGCAACTAGTCCTGTCGTGATAAACAATAAATCAATTAATCGCATGATCAATGAGAATTATCATCCTCATTTTCATTTATCGGCTTCATCGTTTCTTCGTGTCTCTCTCTTTCTACTGGACGACAAAAGGCTCAACTCTGGTGCTCCTCACTGACCCCCTCCCTTTCTTTTTAAAATCCATTTTATCCGTCCATAAATCACGTTTTTGGATCATTAAAAGCAGCTAAGCTGAGAAGCTAAGTTACAAGCTAAGCTAACAGGCCGACCTCTGGGAGAAAAAAAAACCCTCTGTCTTGGGGAAGCTCCAAAATTCACAGTTGAAACCTGTGCCTTTGTGCAAAAAGTTGTTTTTCTCTGCAAAAAAGAAGCTGAGAACTTGTTTACTCATTTTTTTTTTTAATTAAAAGCTTTATGTGACAAATGCTATGCTAAAGAGCTCAAACCACATCGAGCGTCCGCCATTTTGAGAACCGAAAAACAGGAACGAGACAGCCCATATCATGTCATGGGGCCTCCCTCTCATTTTTCTTAAAGAGACACGCTGCTCGCTCCCTCACTATCCATCCTTTGATTCAATGCCTTATCATGCCATCCAGTGGTCAAAATAAGGTACTACACACAAAAATTAACCAACATTTCTTCTTAAATTTGACAATAATTCCCAGTACTAATTATTGTCAAATTTCAAACAATATTATTGTTTATCGCAATAATTTCTGAGACAATTAATCACCCAGCAAAATTTGTTATCGTGACAGGCCTATGTGTAACGGAACTGACCTGTACATGGGATTGTTGATTTCTCGGTTCATGACCATGGCTTCAAACATCGGGCCTTCACGCACCACAAATTCGATCATACGGTGGATGAAAGAGCGCAAAGTCCTACAAGAAAGACACAGTTAAAGCAAATGGATTCAGACTGGACACACTATTCAGCACTACTTCCAACCTACTTATTAAAGCTTAATTTATGCCTGGTGGATGGACAACCACAATAGGTGCCTTGAAAAATTACATATTTTACATTAAATATGGCCACATGTCTCCTTTAATATTATTTCCAACACTACAGCTTGAAAATAAACAGCAAATCACTATTTTTCCCTCTAAATATTTACAATATTTTCTGTTTAGTACTAATTATTGACAAAATAAATGCAGGATAAATAAACAGGCAACCATTAGTTATTTCACCAGAAATAATTTAAGCTCACTGTTTTTAAATCAATGTAAACCAACTAATATAAACATTTTTAAAAAGGAAAATAAGATTTTTAAGATCAGTCAAAATCATTACCAAACTGATGGTTTTTTATTTATTTATTTATTTTTATTGTGAACAATCTGTTACGAATGGCATCCCTGTTTCTTTGAGGATACAGTGCAACAGACTTTAATTACATTGCACGTAAAAACTATTCATAAAGATGTTCTACATAAACTTCACAGAAAGGGGAAACATTTCGAGCTGTAATTAAAATGGAAACGAGGTGAGGGGAACTGAAAAGGCATTGTACTGACAGACACTTCTGTCAGTACAATGCCTCTTAATTCCTACTCGTTCTGAATAACATGGTCAAAAACAGAGCACAGGATTATTGGCCTGATAAAGAATATCTGCTGGTGAACTGGGTCCTGACTGAATATGGTGCACATGGGATCACTAAAATTTTTCTGTGACCATTTTATGGGAAGTATGTGTTGCAGGTTACACACAATTAGTCTAAAGTGGCCAACAAGACAAAAGATGTCTTTCATTTGACAACACAGAGAACATTTACTTGTATTGGAGCTGATCGTACCAATGACGGGGTAAAATTCTGTATACTTTCCCAATCCATCCCATGAAGCCTTTCAGGTCCCTCGCTGCTGCAGACAGTTCAACTTGTGCTGCTCACCGAGGCCAATGTCAAAGGTCATATTTAGACTAATTCTAGCAGATTTGTTCGGTTGGACTGGGCCAGATTTACTGAACTCGCCATAAATTGACAGAGGCCAAGGGGGGAGACGGTCTGAGTGAGCAATGGCCAGAGACAGATCTAAAATCATCAAACCGTGCATGTAGCAAAGTCACTAAAAAGAGTAAATGATTTTATGGTGAAACTGTGAAAAGTGATGATCTTTGAAACTGAACAGGATTTTTATTAAGCTCTACATCATTATTTACATGTTTAAGAAAATTATAAATGATGGTGGGACATGAAGGAGTAAGATAAATACCGAACACGTCAGTATTATGCTACGATAAAGTATGAAAACAGTGTACAGTTGCCTCAACCATTGCTCATCCACACTGACCAGCCCCCTGTAGCATGCAGTGATCAATTGATCAAACTTTAATTCCATTATGGGACGTTTTGTTTCTAAGTTTGAACACCAATTTAAAAATAAATAAAACATGTACCTTTCTGTTGGGACAACCACTTTGACTATGGCTTGCGACAGATTCTGTATATGAAGTCACATCAGATAATAAACATAGAATGTGAGTATTGTTAAAAAGTCAACAAGTGTAAAATATAAAAAAAATAATGCATTTCAAAATGCATAAACTGTCAAGATTTACTAAAGGCCAAAAACCCACGATACTTTACCACATTCCCCTAAACACCCATCTATAAAACAGGCTAACATTTCATACAGAGTAGCTAGTAAAACTTATTCATGAAAATAAATTACAACTTAAAAGACTAAGAGTAAAAACCTGTACTGAATGTTCATACCAAACATCTTACCAGCACAAAAAAAAAAACCCAACACACTGCCAGACTCCATGAAACCCTTGACAGACGTATTCAATTACCTTCTCAAACTCTTCCTTGTTCTTCGGCGGAGGAAGCAGGGGAGCATGTGGGTTTTTTAGCCTCTCTCTGGGCTGAGCGTTGAAGGGTAGGCCAGAGGGAGGAGGTGGGAGAGTATGCTCCATCATAGAAGGAGGAATATAGATGGGGTGTGGCGGAATGGGCACACCTTTGCCCCACCCTAGCCTCATCTCAAAGTTCATTATCATTTTTCCTATAAGTCAAAGAAATACAGAATGTGTAGACAAATGAGCGATGAAAAGAAGAGCAATGTGCAACTTTTTTAAACAAAGTATTACCGTTTAGATTATTGAGTGCTCGCTCAGCATCTCTCCGGTTCATGAAGGCAACAAAGCCGCAATTCCTCTCCCGAGCTCGCTCCTCATCTGTTCGTGGCCACATGATTTTCACGCTGGCAAGGGGGCCGTAACGGCCAAACTCTTGACACAACATCTCCTCGTTCATCTATAATGATTTTACAGAAAGTAGAAATGCTTCAATGCAGGGATTATCATTTTCAAGCAGCATGTGACTTATAATTTAGGGCATACACAGTACATTTTGTACGATTTAAAACACAAGCAAAGCTTCAAGTCAGGTTCCTCTTTACAAAACAAATGCAGCTCATGCTTACCGTCTTGTTCAATCCAATATACAGTGGTGCTTGAAAAATTGTAAACCTTTTAGAATTTTCTATATTTCTGCATAATTTTGACCTAAAACATCAGATTTTCACACAAGTCCTAAAAGTAGATAAAGAGAATCCAGTTAAATAAATGAGATAAAACTATTACACTTAGCCATTTATTTATTGAGGAAAATGATCCATTATTACATATTTGTGAGTGGTAAAAGTATGTGAACCTTTGCTTTCAGTATCTGGTGTGACCTCGCCGACTATTACACTTCTTGCTCTTGGAGCGTTGATGGTCCACCACTCCTGGGGAGGGTAACAATCATCTTCAATTTCCTCCATTTGTACACAATCTGTCTAACTGTGGATTGGTGGAGTCCACACTCTAAACAGATGGTTTTGTAACCTTTTCCAGCCTGATGAGCAACAACAACTCTTTGTCTGAGCTCCTCAGAAAGCTCTTTGTTCCTGCCATGATACACTTCCACAAATACGTTGCGAAGAGCAGACTTTGATAGATCCTGTTCTTTAAATCAAACAGGGTGCCCACTCACACCTGATCATCATCCCATTGACTGAAAACACCTCACTCTTAATTTCATCTTGAAATTAATTGCTAATCCTAGAAGTTCACCAACTTTTGCCACTCACAAATTTGTAACATTGGATCATTTTGTTCAATAAATAAATGACCAAGTGTAATATTTTTGTCTCATTTGTTTAAATGGGTTCTTTTAACTACTTTTAGGACTTGTGTGGAAATCTCACGTTTTAGTTCACAGTTATGCAGAAAAACAGAAAATTCTAAAGGTTTCACAAACTTTCATGCAAAACTATAGATGTAGACATAGTTACCTTTGGATTGATGTTTCCAAGATACAAGTTTGTGGTGGAAGGGTCTCCGACATCATGGGAACCTGGGGCGCTGTCGTCCAAAACTGCAGACACATAAAAGAGAAACGAAGTTCCTGTTGCTGTTTGGCACAACAACTGGTGTTCTTAGCAACTTGAAAAAAATTCATTCACTGTATTAATTCAAGATTACCACTGGACGGACGGTTTCTTCGTGAAGAACCATCCGCTAAAAGAAGCAGAAAAGCAGTATAAATTTTATTTCAGGGTAAAAGGGGATGAAGGGGTAAGGCGTGCTGGACAGGTACATTTCATGCCAAGTTAGTACACTAAAGACTAGGGGTGCACCGATTTATCGGCCCCGAATTCCTTAATTTTGGAAGACTACTTACAAGAAACTGATTTTACAGATTTATTTTTTGTAGTTTTAACAACCGTCTAAACTCGATTTATATTTCAGAGCACTTTCTCATGGCCAGTTAAAACAAGTATGTATTGTTTCTAGGATATTGTTCAAGGGTGTGTTTTTCTATAAAATAAGATCGGAAAATTGAAGTTGCACTGTGACCTTATAACACCTGACAGTGTCGCTTATGAAACTAATTCGGAATCGACAGGTCAGGCTTTTTAGAGATCGGCCAGAAAACTGCAATCGGTGAGCCCCTACTAAAGACATTTATGCAACTTAAATGCACTGACATGAGCGCTTTCCCTCTGTGCCAGGCAGAGGTTCAAAACGACTGACACGTCCTTTCATCTTGTGCCTTTCATTCCTTTCCTCCTGAATCCTGAAAAGAAAATAAAAAAAAATCACAGTACAAATACTGTTTTTGTGGAAAAAAACAAACAAAAGGTGTTTAAACGTATAGTAAAACCATACTGTTTAAGTTCTTCTTTAAAGAGCTCCAGGTTACTCTTCTTCTTTTCTTTGTCATTACTTTTCTTCAAAGTCTGAAGCACAAACAATGACATAGTAATAAAAAACAAAAAAAGTACAGGAGCAGCAACACTGGGCACTACTTTCTGACTTCGACAGTACTTACATTTCTTTTATCTAAGGGCAAAAACTGAGATGGAGTCTCCAAAGGTAGGATGCTTTTTGATGGGGTCTCAAAACGTGACCTGGGCTTGTATAACTTTCCTTTTTTGTCATCAGCAGCTGCTTCGTCTATAAAAAGAGAAATAAATCATGCTTCTAAATTTTATTCCAAATACTTGGGCTTTTAAAAAAAAATAAAAATCTAACAATTGTGTGGACTGATATTGAGCTCCAAAATATTTAAAAGCTTACAACTTGGAAAAGCAGGAAGAATACATTACTAGAATGTTGTTTCTTTGAATCTAATAAAAACAGTTTAAATATAGTAATACGCAAGACTAAAAAAATCTAAATTTCAAACATAACTAGGTCCACTTTGTTTCTGCATCAGCAGAAAAATGTCTAAACTGATCACATGCCAACATTATGTGCACAAAAGAAACTTTTGCAATGAGGTTTTTTTTTTTTTTTACAGCTACCGAGGATGTAAAATCATGGACCGATGTGTTTTATGACAACAATGCTGATAATTAGCGGAAACAATTAATAGAACTATGACAAGTAGTGATCAATTAGGAGAAAATGGAGCAAATGCTTTACCCTTTGAAGCATTTGCAAGACCCCCACGGACAAAGGCCTTGACTTTGCCCTCTGTGCCTCCATCAAAAGCAGCAAGAAACTCTTCGTAGATCTCTGCTGCTGCTCGCTCATCTTCCTGAACACACAAAATCAAAATAAACAGGAAGTGAATACAACTAATGCTCAGTAAAGCATCTTAGATAGGTTGAAATAAAGATGTTGAAAGAGAAGCTTGCCTTTTTCTTTATGTCATCCTGTTCCTTCTTGCTTAAGGTTCTTTTAGCCACTGCCATTTTTCCAATGCTGAAAGATTTGAGTTTGCTCTCAAGCTGCGCCTGCCGAAGTAAACACAACAATTAGCTTTAAAAAAAACCCAAACGTTTAGCAACACTTAGTATAACGCTTTGTATGCATATAAACATTACTCATACGTTTAGCAACCCCAGTGTTTTATTTGGTAGAAGTTACTAAAACAGCCTGACGAATAACGTTGACCGCTATTCACTATACTCTACGCAATTAGCGTGGACTAAAAGGTTGCAATCACTAATCAGATAATTGTTTAACATTCTCTGAGCTGCATTAACTGCATACTTTCTGCAATGTGTCGGATGGGCATAAAAATCAACAGAGGCCTTGAGTTGAAGCGCCAAGGACTCGTTACGCCGAGCTGAACGAGGCTAGTTGACATAACGTCGGACTATATATATAATCTAAAAATAAGATTAAATAGTTATAGGCGTATATATATAAAACTCCAAAATCATGCTGTGAATGTAACGTTTATCATTATGTGGTGTTCAGTAAACTACAGATTTATTTAGTCCAAGATGGTTGCGGTGGCTAATTTGTTAGCATAGCTAAGCTAACCCGGCCGCGGCGGCGCTTTGCTAACATCGTTGCGCACACTCATGCCTGTTCTTTTGTAGGTGCTAATACGCAAACACTCAAAGTTTCTCATGGATGCAATAATTATCATGCTTTTTACGAGAATAAAAGCAGCTTAACTAAAGCCAGAATAAACAGTAAATTTCACCTTTGCGCTAGCTTTTTGAGAGCCAGGCGTTCGATCCGCCATCTTTCGGTGAAACTAAAGAGTCGATCCCAAATAAAATGATCGGCACTAAGTTGAAACTCCAGGCCGCGTAGTCGATCACCGAGTTAGCGATGGATCTCCTTTGTTTGTTTTGAAAAGACAAATGTAGGCTTTGCTTACGTGGATATAAAACGTTAAATAAAACAGTGTTTGAAAGGTGCAATAACTGAATAAGAAAATACTTTTGCCAAGATGCATTGTTGTACACTGTAACTCTATCTAGTTATCCAGTGCTGCTCCAGCAGGTGGAACTCTTAAATTTATTTCTGACTTTTTCTGAATTTGAAGTTTTATATGTATAGCCTCCTTATCCTGTATATTTAAACAGCATCAAGACATTAAGTGGTGGCATTGCTATTTAAATAGATTAAGTATCCAGTCAGTCATAGTCTGTTTGTTTTGTGCATATGGTTTATAACAGTAATTTTCAGTAGCTTTGGTGCATTTCTCACATCACTTTTAACATTTGCTCAACACTCGGTGCATTTCTCAAAACAATTTGCACAAACTGCAAAAGCTAGTCGATAACCTGCAAAAGTGTGTTACTTTCTTACGAGTTACTTACTCAAAATGTTAGTTCATTAGGATAGTTCATTTCTCAAAAGTCTTCATGTCAACCCTTAGCAAAAACTACTTTATTTAAGTGTACTACAAGTATACTTATTTTACACTAGAAATGAGGAAGTGTACTTGAAGTTTACTTTTTATAACCTGCATTTGATATACTTGAAAATAGTATAAAATGTCCCAATTTAGTCCAAACAAGTATTAAATCAGTATACTTTCTAGTACATTACAAGTATGATGTGTAGTATACTTGATATACTTATACTTAACTTAAAGTATACTTGCAAAAATGAACTTCAAATGTACTACTTTTTGTTAAGGGAAGTGAAAGTGTTAGTGTCATCAAAATGATTATTTATGAACAAGATTGGAAGTAGACCTAAGTACAATGGCTTTATTACATTTTCATTATGACAAAGTGTTTTCCAATGCAAAAAAAAGTCAGATCTTGGTGACACTGAAAATGTTCAAGACAGCACTATAAATTAAACTATTTGTAGAGCCATTTGAAATCTACAGTTAAGTTACACATTACTGTATTTAGTGAGTATCCTGATGCGTGCTCAATAATCCAGGTAGATGAATGTAACAAGGTGGAGTCAGATCCTCCGGATGGATTCTTCTTTGTTGAAACGTCTGTCATCCGAAAGACTTCTTCATTCAGAGGTGCTGCAACAAACTTAGTCTTATACACAGTAAATAGCACCTTCTCATAACAGAACAACCAGTTTGCTTGTGACAGCCAAAACTAGCTGTTCACATGTAAAAGGAGGACCATCAGCCTAACAATCAACTGTCAGTGACCTAATGGCTGAGGGATGCAGCATTGAAGAGGGTGACCATGGAAGCCTCCGCCCCTGTTTTACAATGGATGAGTTTTCATTATGGCTTCCTTTACTCCTGTCTCAAACCAACTTTCCTCTCTTTTTATTTTATAGTGATGTTCACATGATTTTATTGTTTGTAGTGTATTTATTTGTGGAAGAAGCTTTGTTTAGCACACAATGGCCAAGACAAATTTCCTCTTTGGTACAATAAAGTATACATCTATCTATCAAGGATGTGCACATATTCATCCCTGAAAGAGTGACTGATGGCCTGCAGATGAGTTTAGACTACAGAGTCCTGGCCTGATGATGTTGTTGTATTTAGTGAGGTAAACGAGTACAAGACATTGAATATGTATGTTTCACATTTTTATGGCATATGCTCTTTGCAATGTTAATTTGTTCACATAAGAAATACCCTTTTGGAAGAGCTGTGCACAATTATAAGCAATATTGCAGTACATGTTGGAACTACAACATACACAGTATTTTTAAAATCTGTCCAGATAACCTGACTTAACTTTGTTAGATTTTTCTGCCTGCATTATTGAGGATGCATCAGATATACACAGTATTGTAAATCATTCCTTAACTTCCAGATGTTCCTAGTCTGGCCACATATTTTCATCAGCATCACAGTAAATGTCATGTCGAGCAATGTAGCAAGGAAAGTATCTCCTCGAGTGGTGAATCCATCCTTTGCATGACTCTGTTGTGATATGATGTTATCACATGCTGCATCCAGGACCGCTAGCAGGGTCATTGCCAGTCGTATACCTTCCACATCCAGGAAGCAAAAAACTCCTCTATTGGATAAATGAATGGTGAGTAGAGAGAGAGAGAGAGAGAGATTCCACCAGCAGCCTTTAATGTGCTGTAAACCACTGTCTGACCAAATCTGAGTAGTAAAAACACATAGTATCATATATCCTGATGCATGCTCAATAATCCAGGTAGAAAAATCTAAAAAAGTTAAATCTGGTCCTCTGGACATTCAAAAAAAAAAAAAAAAGGACCAGAGGACCAGATTTAACTTTTTTAGATAGTATCATATACAACAACATACTTGTTCAGACGATTCCTTTTAGACCCCTCTCATTCACAGGAATTATGGCTTTGTAAAGAGTATAAAAAAAAGTCAGCAGATGTTGTGTTGTATGGACCAAGAAGGGGTATTTAGGTGCAGATACAATTTTCTGAGATGGCTGCACAAATTGTAATATTCCCTCCTGGGATGTCAGTGGTTGCTTTCTGTCCAATGAGGTTTCTTCCATGCCGTCTACTTTTTGCAAGATTGAAACCCACCTAATCAACATACATGAATGTGTGCAGCAGTTCCCTGGCCTCCAGCTTCAGTACAAGCCTGATCCCAGAAGAGAGAGAAAAGTTATAGCAACTTTTCCTGTGTAACATAATGCATTTTGGACAACATATTGTACAGTATAAACTGCCATTTAAGTGTAGTGCATGACACTACACAAAGTAACCAATTTACAGCCCCGAGTAATGCTCATAAATATGTAAATATATAACCTCAGGGCACCACCTCATGAGAGGAAATTAATGTTATTTTATAAATTATCTACCACTCTCTTTAACCCCAAAATAATGTGAATTCTCATTGTGTATAAAGACATCAAATTTTATCAACAGAGATTAAATAATCACAGATTCAATGGTGACATTTTGTGTATTTTATTACAAAATCATAATAATCTATGATATATGAATGATAAAAACCGGATGTCAAATGACTTTGAGTAAAGGCCTGATGGATTTTTATAGTTGCTGAAACTTTAAAGGCAGATTTAGGAGATGTTTGTTTTTGATTTGTGGAAGAATAAAATATAACTGCTTTTAAGTTTACTGGTGTAATTACTGTGAGGTCAGGTCATAAGTATCTTAGCAAAAGATCTCAGTTTCATAGAAAGGCCTTTCAGGTTATCGAGTTCAATTTTGAGTTTAACAGTTAGTATAATAACTGTCTTTATTATGCATTATTGTTGTCCCACTTAGGGAGTGGTGGAACTGAAACAAAGAATATTTTATAAAATACAATGTCTGTTCTCAAAAGAATGGATCAGCAGTCTGAGGCGTACCTCTACACTGGTGACAGAGCTCCTTCCCTGTCGCTGTTCCATTCAAATGGCGCATTGTAAAACTGTTTCATGTGCATTTAATTTCACCTGAGCACAATTGTAGCGATTGAAACAGTATTTCTAAAGATACTGTTATCCTCTATAACAGCACGTCTGCTTAACCTTTTGGCATTGTTTGCCATCATCATTGCACAAATGATTTCCTCTTGCTGCAGAGTAAAATGAGGCCCGTTTCCACCTCTGCAAGGTTGTCTTGCAATCCTGTGTGGTGCAGAATAACATTACAGTAATGTGCAGGAAACATGAGATATACTGCTTTAACCCATTTTACTGTAATTTACAATAACAGTGCTTTCCACTTATAAGCTGCTGCAGTATAGCACCATACTGTAGATATGGCAAAATTCTTACCTTAGCACTACTTTACATTAAGATACAGTAAATATGTGTTGCAGTAAAGCTGTAAATGTGAGAGTACAGCCTTCTTTCAGATCCAAGATCTGCAGGCCATCCCACTAATGAAGATCCCTTTCTACATAAGGCTGCACATGAGCTCTACTCTCCGCTGGAGCATTATCACCTGTATAAATAAAGGTTGAATGAATCAATGCCTCATGGTATTTATGCTTCGGGACAATTTATTCTCCTGAGTGACTATTACTAATATTGTCTTCACTTTGTTCTACAGCTTACCTGTGTCTTTTGAGTGCCTCAGTGTCCTGGACTGCCTGGATCCCAGTGCCTCTTTGTGTCCATTGCCCTCCTGCCACTTGCCTGTCTCACTCATGCCCATGTCCAGGAACCTTCTTGTTTTGTCCTCCCAAGATGAAAAAAGCCTCCAAAACTGTAAGACATACCTCTTTCAGAGCCTCATCCAACAAGAAATACCCGCCTAACCCCTCTCCTTGCTCCTCAGGGTTTCAGAGGATCTCCCATGCACATTGTTATTTATTCACTGTAAAAAATAAACACTGTTAATCCTTTTACATGTGGAGTCTTGGCTCGTTCTGGTTCTCTGGTTTCCCTTTGATCATAACAGAAAATTTATATGTAAAATGTAAAAAATGGCAAGTTCTTGTCACACTGTAAGCTTCATGCGGTAGTGCTGAATTACTGTCCAATACAAGATCTTCTTCTGATGAAATGTTTGAATGTGGTTTTCCCAACATTTGGCTGCACCCTTCGACCAGCCTCAGCTGTTGCGAGGCCATGATTGACAACATGGTCCACAAATGTATCCATAATTTCATCAGGAATCTGCACATGTACTTAGCCTCTCCTTCCTCTTCCCCTTTTTTGTCCCCATCCTCCCTGCATCCCCGTCTCTCTTCCATGATGCTGACCTTCCAATTCTGTGCCACAGTACTGTCAAAATGGTACTCACTATGCCATTCTCAGCTGAGTTCATATATGCTTGCCAAATGAGGGATCATGGGATTCAGTTCTGAGTGACTGTGAAGAAGTGGCTTGTCATTGGTTACAGCTAGTGCTTCACACACTCCTCCTCATTAGAGAAAGCTGAGGTTCACCTGAGAGAAATTGTTCAATTTGGAAGGCATTTTCAGGACAAAATGATAAAGAAATGCATAAAATTTGGTTGACAGATTTTGGCATCTAGTCTAACATTTTAGTATGCAATGACTAAAGAACTACAGTATTAGTTTTATAGTGAATGACTATTCAGCATTCACAAGCATAGTTCATTTTGACTGGCATGACATAAGCAAATGATGTTACTCTATAAAACACCTGAGAATTGTATGGAAGGGATTGATGCATGTCCAAAAGTACTTGCAATTTGTTGGAATGAAAACTGCCCATGATGTGCACATATGACTAAATGTTGTGGAGGTTAAATTAACATTCTGATCAGAGATGCACCAAAGCAGTTGAGGGGAAAAAAAAATGTAAAAAATGGATAATTCCAGTCAAGTTCAATCATGCCATCTTCTGGACGGTTTTCCAGATCAGGTGAAGTATGAAGCTAAAGCGGGACCCCACACCCTCCGTCCAGCGCTTCCATCTTTTTTTTCTCTCTCTCTTTCTATGCTCAGTCCCTCCTACAGCACAGAACAGACAGCATATTCATGTGCTTGAGCTCGCAGTTCCTCAGACTCCCTGCAGCAGCTCCTTCTCCCTCACGGCTGGAGCTGAGCGCGATGCCACGGAGTGACTCCAGGCGCAGCGCCTGCATCTACCCAACCATGTGGAGGACATGCAGTGTTTTTTGCGCATGGACTCTGCTGTTCCTGACAGAGGTCTGTGCTCAGTCTCAGCAGAGGTACATATTTATTTCCTCTATGTCAAACTTTTTCTTTGAATACAGGCCACGCTGTCCTTTGGCGAGGAAATTTTATTCAAGCTGATGCTTTTTTTCCCCTTTTCCTTTTCTATGTTCTAAACCATCATAATCATTTAAAAATGTCCCCTCCAGACCAACTTTCACATGTGGAGGAAACATCACAGGGCAGTCTGGAGTCATCGGAAGCCAAGGATACCCGGGAGTCTATCCTCCAAACACCAAATGTGTGTGGAGGATCACAGTGAGTCCTGTTAGATTTTTAAGTAGTTACAAATACAAAGTACACTACACCAAAGTGAGATTACATTCTTTACTTAAATCCTAACTGGCCTGGTTTGATTACTTTGCAGATGATAACATAATCTCTGACTCATTTATGTTGAGATAAAGCAAAAGCTTGACATGTTTAAACTGAAAACTCTCCATTTTGTCTGATTTTTACATGTGATAACTGATAACTGATTCATTCTCCAACCCAAGGTTCCTGATGGCAAGGTGGTGGTGCTGTCATTCCGCTTTATTGACCTAGAGAGTGACAACCTGTGTCGCTATGACTACGTGGATGTGTACAGCGGCCATGTCAATGGGCAGAGGCTTGGTCGCTTCTGTGGGACGTTCAAGCCAGGAGCCCTTGTTTCCACGGGCAACAAGATGCTCCTGCAGATGGTGTCTGATGCCAACACCGCTGGCAGCGGCTTCCTCACTGTTTTCTCTGCGGCCCACCCTCATGAGAGAGGTACTGTAGATAGGAAGCAGAGCAATGCCACAGCAGGCTTTCTGCACCAAAACATGTCAAGGTCTAAAAGATTTCAGTGATATCTGTCTATTTACTAAAAAATAGTTCTTTCAGAATCCTTTTTGCCTCACTATGCAGTCTTATTGCACAATAAATGAAGTGATCGGGTATAGAAAAAATACGTGAACATTTGCTTTCTTTTGTCCAACATAAAAAAATACTAAATTAAAAGTTGAACTAAAAGCTATTTGCAACTTAATGTGGGGTTTTTTTTTTTGTTTTTTGTTTTTTTAGGGGAAGGGGCAGGAGACATTTGAGTTGGAAGTGAATTTAAATGTATCACGTTGAGGCAAATGAGCCTTTTCCTATCTACAGTCTCATCTGCTGTGTGTTTTTGTGGATTTCTAATGAATAGTTTCTTGTACCCAGCAAGCTCACAGCTGTAATGGACCCAGTCTGTAAACCACCGTGCCTGACTCTTACTTGACTGTGGCAAAGAGACTTTGAAGACGTCTTATCTGACGTGTTTTCCATTTGTTGGGTGTCTCTTACCATGACTTTGTCTTTAGTCATCCTGGAAAGTAATTTTTTTTAAAGTTCAGCCAAAAAGGGGTAAAGATGGGGTAGAGGTAGGGCAGCTGACTTGGGACCAGAAAGTCGCGGTTCGACTCCCAGCCATTCCCACATTTCTTGGTGTCTCTGTGCAAGACACCTACCGGTAATCCCCAATTCCTCCCCGGTCGGTTAAATAGCTGCCCACTGCTCCACCTGGATGTATCTCACATGTGATGGGTTAAATGCAGAGAACAAATTTTGCCATTGTATGGGAATATACAATGACGACAATCTCAAACTTCCCTTCCCCCCCTTCTCAAACGGGTTATAATGTATGACCATTGTATAGAAACATTGGACACTTGGTTTTCATTGGTTAGGGTGTTTATAATTACAACAAGGGAAATGACATAGTAATGACACCTGTTTTTTTAATTGTTACAGCAATGGTATTTTGTTTTTTCTTGTTCTCTGTTTTTACAGGTGACCAGTACTGTGGGGGCAGACTGGACAAGCCCTCTGGGGCTTTCAAAACACCTAACTGGCCCGAGAAAGACTATCCAGCTGGTGTCACCTGCTCCTGGCATATAGTGGCCCCTAAAAACCAAGTCAGTCACTAGATGTTCAGATTATATTTTTAATGAAAGCAAAGTTGATTCATCCATGTTGGTTTTATGATGGAAAAGAACATGTGGTCTGCATGTTTTCAGTGATAATGTCTGTGAGAGGTTTTTCTGTAATTTGTCTGCCGCTGCAGATAATTGAAGTAAAGTTTGAAAAGTTTGACGTGGAGCGAGATAACTACTGCCGCTACGACCACGTCTCCATTTTTAACGGGGCAGAAATAAACAACGCCAAAAGGATCGGAAAATTTTGTGGAGACAGCCCCCCAGCGTAGGTGATTTCTGTCATCCAGAAAGTCCTTTTAGTAAAATGTCCATCTTATAACCTTCTCTCAGTTCATGCTCAGTCTGCCTTTATGTGCTGCTTTGCAGGCCCGTCTTCTCAGAGGGGAATCAGCTCCTGATCCAGTTCCTATCAGATCTCAGTCTAACCGCAGATGGCTTCATTGGACACTACAAGTTCAGACCAAAGAAATTCCCAACCACCACCGTACCACCCACCACAACCACCACCCAGCCAGTCACTACCAGGCCGACACGTAAGTAGCAACTTGACTCTTACAAAAAACACCAGAAGACTTGTAACGTGTATTTGCTAAAGAAGCATTGCACAACTAGACAGCAGAAACTTAATTCACATAAAATGGCAAAACGGTTAGAAAGTTGGATCAAATCTAGACTAAAAAGTCCAATAAACAAAGGGTTTATAAGCAAATCTTGAACATTTAGAGTTTTTTCTGTAAAGTCAAAAGAACACAATGTACCGGTGACTGAAATCTCCACAAGGATGCAGCATGGCACGTGTTTAACTGCAACATCTGCCAAAAGTGTGTGCGCCCACATTGTACCTGTGTAAACTATACACAGCCCAAGTTATCAGACAGTGTGGGTGTGTGTCTGCACCCGCAATTACAGCTCATTACATACCTAAACTCTCATGTTCCCACACTCCTGTTGCTTTTTCCCTTTAGTCAAGCCAGGTTCTTGTGGTGCCCCCCTGCCATGATGTCATACTATGACTGTGCTTTTTGGTTATCTTCTCTGCCTTTTCCCTCTCCAGTAAGAACAATATTTAGTCAGTCACTGTATTTTCTTTAAGCTGTGTTTTTTTTCCCCCTTTATGGGATATCACTAACTAGAAAAACAGATGTTCTCTTGTCTCATTTTCTCACTTTTTGTCTTTCAAACTGACAGCCACTCGTTTTAGACAAACTATTGTGTTTCTCAGAATATCCAGTAAAGAAACCACAGAAGAAAGCGATGCTACCATAACTGACATGACTGCATCAACAGCGAACAAAATTACAGAGGTTAAATTTTCTTATGTGTGTGTGTCTCCACAGCTCTGAAGTACTCTGTTGCGCTTTGTCAGCAGAAATGTAAAAGACGAGGAACACTTGAGAGCAATTACTGCTCCAGCAATTTTGGTGAGACCATCAATGTTTTTTTTTCTTCATTTATATACAGTAATCCTCACATATTAAAGTCATTGATATGTTCCAGCATGTTACAAACATGATAATCGTACACAAAACCACAGATGTAAATATCATCGAAGGCTCTTGACAGCCAAAACTCCCCTCTAAGTAGGTGTTTACAGTCCTGATCGTATCACTATCTTTGCGTCTCTTGTTTTTATTTGCTCGTGTATCTGAAAGACCTCCTTGAGGAACTGAGGTACTGTATACAGTAGGGTACAGTGGCCTTCAGTGTAAGCACAAGCACACCCTCATGCATCCACTTGCGGTGGGTAAACTCTAAACGCGGTGATTCAGGCTCAGCCTCAGTTTGTTCCAACTCCCAGAATTTGTTCCTCTCTGAGATGTTTACTGCGTGTGTTACGCTGGCCTTTGAAATTCAGGTTTGCACCAGTAACTGATGAGCAAACGATGTGGTGCCACATGTGGAAAAAGCACGGTGGGGAGAGATCAGCTCATGATACGTTAGTTATGACGAGACAGAAGTCTGAAAACTGTTCTGTTTAATGGACATCGTAAGTTGAGACTGCTGGTATTTAATCCAGTTAAGAGCACTTGGAGTTGTCAAAAGACGCTCACTGGTTTGTGTAACAGGAGCAATAGAACATGACTGAAACAAATTCTTCCCTGGCTTTTCTCATCTCTGCCAGGAAATAAAACTCTTGACGTATTGGTACTATCAGTGTACAGTCTTGTTTCATGTTGAACAAGCTGTGGTTCTGTCATAAAGTACCTGTTGTTGCTAAATTTCCATGCGTAAAAGCAGAAAAAACTGTGTTTTTGTACTTTGAAGGGCCTGCGTAGACTTAACAGGAAGTAACACTACCCTGCACATGGATTGTTAGAAGACAGATAAAAAGGGGTCAAGGAGCGCCGCTGTTCTTTATTAAACAGTGATATGTTATGCAGTCTTCGGAGAACTGACATCACTTGTTTAACTTGGCCTCATCTCGAACAGCTAGAATTGCATGTGCTTGAAAATCACAGTAAATGATACTGCTGATGATTTTCATTTTATTTTTTGACTTTGTGAGACTGAACTCTAAAGGTTGAAGGAGAATAAACCAACTGTAAAAGAGCAGTAGAGGAGTGCGAATGGGCTAAAATAAATAATTAAAGTCTGCTCTGTTACATTGGATTAACATTTCAAAGAGAAGCTGTATTTAACAAAGAATTAAAATCTGTAATACTGTACACATATTATGCATACCGCAAACTTTATTTAGCACAGCTTTGTATGTTTCCCTCACTCTGTTTTATAAGATCAAAGTTCATGCTCAGTAATCCAGATAAAAAAAATCCAACAAAGTTCAGTCAGGTCATCTTGACGGTTTCTTTTTTTGTTGAGACGTTCCATCCTTCATCCAAATAACTTCATCAGTCCGAGGAGCCACAACAATTACAGTCCCACAAGCAGCACACTCACATAGTGGACCAACCAGTTTGCTGGTTATAAGATGGTTTCTTGGGGCTCGCCCTCTCTCTGTCGACTCCTCTGAGGCAGCCATAGCCAAAGTGGTTCAAAACAGCAAAGTTCATGCTCAATAATCCAGGTAGAAAATCCAACAAAGTTCAGTCAGGTCATCTGGACGGTTTCTTTTTTTGTTGCGACGTTTCATCCTTCATCCTCAGCCTCAGATGAGTCGACGAGGGAGAGTGGACCTCAGAAACCATCTTATCACCAGCAAACTGGTTGGTCCACTATGGGTGTGTGCTGCTTGTGAGACTGAGCTTGTTTGTGGCTCCTTGGAGTGATGAAGTTCTTTGGATGAAGGACAAAACGTCTCAACAAAACAAGAGAAACCATCTAGATGACCTGACTGAACTTTGTTGGATTTGTTACCTGGATTATTGAGCATGAACTTTGATGTTTTGAACCACTTTGACTATGGCTGCCTCAGAGAAGTCAACCGGGGAGAGGGCGGGCCCCAGAAACCATTTTATCACCAGCAATTGGTCCACTATGGGAGTGTGCTACTTGTGGGACTGAGTTTGTATGTGGCTCCTTAGATTGATGAAGTTCTTTGGATGAAGGACGAAACGTCTCAACAAAAAAAGAAACCGTCAAGATGACCTGACTGAACTTTGTTGGGTCTATTTTATAAGCTTTATAAACTAACATTTTTCACATCTTTAATCAATTCTTCACATTTGGCACATAATCTTTAAATGTTCTAATCCACGCCCAGTCAAAGACACACAGGAAACTTCTCGTGATACAACATAAAGTAAAAGAGCTAAGTTTGATTGCTATTTATTGATTTAACTAAAATAAGTCAATAGCCTCTGATTTTTTAGCTTTATTTGTTTCAGAAATATAAATTCACCGCAGTTGTCACAAACTTTTGAATTTTAGCAGATGATTAAAGAACAACACTTTGGAGCAATAAACACACCCTTCTGCTGTTGTTCATCAGAGACTGGAAGCTGCTAAGTGTTGCTTCTTGTTTATTCCAGGTAAACAGATGTTCTGATATTTAGACACTGACACATACCAATTTTGTTACATTAGCTGAAAAAAATCTATACAGACTAATTTATTATAAATATAAACACATGTGTATTTGACTTGCAGGGAAAAAAAAAAACATCAGGTCGTCAATTTGCAACTTCCAAGCTTTTAGCAAGTTGTGGGTCATTGATTTTGTGAATTTGCACAGCGATCAGAAATGTACCTGAAATGTACCTGAAGAAGTCATGTTCTATAAACATTTTTCAATTTCTTTAATTTGTGTCAGTTTAAGATCTAGTTAAGCAATAAATAAATTAGGATGTTTGGAAATGTTTAGTTATATTATATGCACATAGTTCCCATCACAAAGTTTCACTGGGTTTCTTGTTACGTTTTGCCGCAAAGAACGGTGTTTAAAGCGACAGTGCTTTAAATGCTTTCTGCATTTAATGACATTTTCCCAACTTCTTACTGGGAAAAATAAACAAAATGCCATAAAAAAGTTGCATTTATTACAAACCTGGATATGGAGGAGCAGGTCAAGATGTTGTGGTTAATGCAAGATTATACACATAATTGTACATTAAAATTTTAACATTTTCCAAGATAGAAACCTCACCAGGTACACTCTAAACTGTGCAGTTTTGATTTTTTAATTTATTTGAGCAAATATTATACTTAAAACGTTTGAACTTTGTGCAAAACAATGTGGCAGTGCAACTAAAAAAGAGCACTTACTGACGGTGCAAGGAATAGAGCCACAACATATTTGTTGTTTTGTGAAATATGAATGTAATTGAGGATTGGGATGAATCCTTGTGGTGGCGTAATCACGGTGGATGGTATGCAGATGTGAGTCTGAGAAAACACATCTCTTTTCTGCTCCAGAGGATTATTAGAGCTGGGTAAAAACTACTCTTAGATTGTTCTTTTAATCTTTTTCTATTTATGCAAGACCTGAGAGATGATTTTTATCCTCAAGTCCGTGTTCTTTATGTCTTCTCTGTGGAAGTGATCTGATTCAACTGTGTTATCTAATACATGCTGTGCTGTCAAAATTACCGTTTCCACATGCACATTTAGACAAACACCAATCAAGTTCAGCCAGTTAACTTTATTATCTAATGAAGAAATTAAAAAGAAAAAGGTCACCTTTGACCTTGAAACATTTTTCAAATCAGTTCTTTAACATTTAAGCTCTTCAATGTTTGGATTTAAAAGTTAAATCTATCAAATTTTGATGTGATTAATCTGATTAGTCATCTAAACAATATAACAAAAATTGCAGCAGTGCCAAAAAGTATCCAAGTTAAACTCCAATCTAGGCCTTTTCGTTAATAAATTGCTGAAACTTTGTATGTTTTTGCTGTTTTTCATGATGTGTTTTTGGTTCTGTAGTGATTACTGGCACGGTCATTACGGCAGTGATGAGAGGAGGAAGCATGTACGCCACCGTCTCCATCATCAACGTTTATAAGGAGGGCAGCTTGGCAATCCAGCAGGCAGGGAAAACAATGAGCACCAAGATCATTATCCTCTGCAAAAAGTGTCCTTTTATCAGACGAGGTGGGTGTAGTGACTCTTGTGGAATGATTTTTTTGCTTGCACCATTAAAAAAGTCATTATGTAAATGAAGATAGTCATGATGCAGCTCCCGGTTGACTGCTTTGAATAACTGACTCTGAGTTTGCCTTCAGCTGATCAAGTCGAGGTATTAGGTGAGCGGCAGAACTCACTGTCCAAACAGTCAACTAAACAATAACTATGTTTATATGTGTGCATATAAACATAAGGCATACATACCTGCCCTGTGCACACTCTCATATACGGCCTCCCTGAATGTCTCTGCCGGTCTGCCACTGCATTCAGGTTTTTTTTGTGTGACCTCAGGCTTGAACTACCTCTTCATGGGCCAGGTGGATGAGGAGGGCCGTGGGAAAATCGCCCCGCACCACTTCGTCGTGGCCTTTAAGACAAAGAATCAGAAAGGACTCAACGTTCTGAAGAACAAGCAGTGCTGAAACTCCGAGGATCTCCTTTGAACCGTTTCTGCTCCAGGTTCGGCTGTGGATGGAAACAATTAATGGGGAAAAAACAAACCTCCTTCTCAACAACGTCAACACAAGCCACAAATCGAAACAACACTAAGAAAATCTGGTTGCAGAACTCCCAGGACAAAATGAAGAAACTTCTATTCATTTAGGGGAAACACATTTATGATCGTTTTCACTGTTTTCACATGGTTTGAAAACGCACAGAGTCTGTCTTTTATTTAAGCCTGTCAGTCTTTTTTGCAGACTGAGATTAATGAGCAGAAAAATTAGCCAAAATTTCCACTCCTTTTCTCAAATTGTTCCCTGCCTGGTCACATTCCAGTCACGCTCGCAGCAGTGATTTAAATTGCAGCTACTTAGAGAAACATTCTTGTTTTTTATTCTGTCTACACATCTGTTCTGACAACCCATAATGTTATTTTTGCTCCAAAATGATTCCATACGCTGCCTTTTAGTGTTTACCTTTAAAGCATCTGAATAAAATGTGAATAAAGACTGAGATTTATGCTTTAAAAATGTATTTCAGTCAATCGGAACCAGTTTGATTTGACAATCTTGGCTAATTTCTGTGTATTATCAAGATCATGTGTTCAGTTTTATTGGGCAGAGGTTGAAGTTTTAAATGCGTTGATTAAAGTGCAATATTTAATATGTTTTTGATTTATTTGAAGCAACTTTTTGCAAAGATATTTGCTTGACAGTGTTATGGATGCAAAGCACCACCTTCAGCATTTGCCATTAACTGTCATTGTTAGAAAAAAAAAAGATATTTTCATATGAACAAATCTATATATTATTTATGTTTTATCTACTCAAATAAAGATTTAACAGTTGAACTTTGTGTCCATGTCCAAGAAGTGTCACGTTGAAGTGGTTGGTTAGCAGCAGCTGAAGCTCAGTTAAGTATGCAAACGGATCAGATGAAATGTGACTCTCACATGGACCCAAACATCCGGGAGCAGGACGTTTTTCAGCAATCAGACCTGCAGCAGAAAAATAATTTCAAAAAGATGCTATAGCAAATTGCATACAATTTTTTAAACACTTAAATCCTCCAAAAGCCGACATTTTTCATAAATGCATTTATTTTTCCTTTCAAAAGAATGGCTTTCTTTATTTACAAAAACAGGGTAGCTGATTAACAGATGGTAGGCCTGAGTCTGGAGGCTTTGGTGGTAAATGCATGTTTCTCTAACAAAGTTCCAGGTTTGAAAATTACTCCTGTGACTTAATAGAAGAGAGGGTTTGCACATGCTTGTGCCACACTGCCCCAGATAAACACGAAGCAACAAGTTTCAGAGAGAGCAGAAAGGGAAGTTTTCATTTTCTTAGCTCCTTGGGTAGAACATGGCATATTTGGATGTTCGGAAGCCCAGCAGGTCCCGCATCTCGTTGCGAAACTTGGATAGATCTTGGCGCAGGTCGTTCAGATTTTCCACCGTGGCCTGGTCCGTGCTCTGCATCTTCTGCCGCGTGGAGGTCAGGTAGCGGTGAACCAAACAACACATGATCTTCTGGTAGTTCTCATCTCGCTTCTGCTTCAGGTTCCTCCACTCCTGCGTTCAAACAGTGAAATAATTCAGACTCATGGCAAGTGGAACCGTAAAGCACATGTTTAAAATAAAGTCAACCCTCAAGAGTTACTGTTTTTAATGTCACCTAAAATATGATATGACACCGTCGAGTTTGTGAAAGTTTGGGAGTTTATTCCTCTCACCTTAAGGCTGTTTTGCCTCTTCACCTTGCCCTTTGTTGTATGCGAACAGATCCACTTCCTCAGGCTGGTCACCAAGTAGCAGACGGTTTTAGGTGAAGGGAGGATATTAAAAGGTGGAGGCAGAGTACACTTGTCATCAAAGTAGCTGAGCCAGAGTTTGGCTCGAGCAAACTTCCACTCCTTATCCTCATGATTCTGCACAAGGTATAAAAATACAAAACCTCCACTTTAACCAAAACCACTTGTTCAAAGTGGGCAAAAAATAAGCAATATGAGTCCAGATAAACTATTTAACGTCTGTAAAACATTTCAGGGCCACTTAAAGCTAAACTAAAACCTAACAGGAGTTGAAAGTAGTTGCTGTTTTCAGCTCCAAGATCAACTTAATTTGCTCCTAACAACAGGCGATACACACCGCTGAGCCTAACATTGTGCAGACTTACAGCAATTTGTCTGAAGCTTTTGTGGAGCATGGCCACCAGCAGCTTGGTCAGCACAATAACTACCACTATGTTGTATGTGCCGATGATCATGGCACCGACAAAAGAGCGTAGCTCCTGTGTGTAGCTGATTCGGGTGACGAAGAGTGCAACGTGGGCCAGGGAGAAAATGTACCAGAACAGAGCGTAGCAGGTTCCCATAAACCTGTAACACAGGAAAAAAAGATCAGAAACACAATAGCTGGAAGTTGGCATATTCTTCACTATTGTCATCCTACAGTGTCTGATATATCAATTTATTAACTGTGTAGCTCATGAGAAGGCACAATAATCTGCTGCTCTTACGTGTGAAATGCATCATTGCTCTGTTGCTGGCAGAAGATCCCCTCGCAGTCCTTGGGTGTTTTCTTGCCGGGGTTTTTGTGGTCTTTTCCATAGAGCTGGGTGAGCCCAATGGTGAAGGAGAATAACACAAGCAGGAAGAGGCCCAGAAACTTTCCAAACTCCTGCAGCATCTGACCCATGGAGATCTGTGGGACATTTTGAAAATCTAAATCATATGTGCACAATGTCAAGTCAAGTCAAATTTATTTATGAAGCACATTTAAAACAGCAACTGTTACCAAATTATAAGTTCCTGTCAATAGCCGAGCTGCAGCATTTTGGACGAGCTGGAGACGTGAAAGGGAAGCCTGACTGATCCCAACATAAAGCACGTTACAGTAGTCAGGCCGGGTTGTAACAAATGCATGGACTATTTTTTCAAGGTCGGATCTGGTCAGCACTGACTTATGCTTAGCTATCTGCTTTAATTGGAAGAAGCTTGCTTGTAGAACAGAGTTAATCTGTTTATTGTACTGAATGTCCAAGTCTAAAACCAATCCCGAGATTCGTAACGGACTGCTTAAGATAAGGCTGAAGAGAGTCCAAATTTATAGGATCAGTGACAGTAGAGCTAAGGCTAACACAACTTCAGTTTTCTGATAATTAAAGCTTAAAAAAAATCGAAGCCACCCATGCCTTGATATCACCGAGACATTTTAACAGAGGGCAAATGGAGCAGGAACTGCTAGGTTTTAAGGGCAGATAAATCTGACAATCATCAGCATAAAAATGAATGAAAGACCATGTCTCCTCTGGATAGATCCCAATGGGAGCAGATACAATAACAGGGGTCCAAGAATAGAGCCTTGCGGGACTCCGGCAGAAAGAAGCACTGAAGCAGATAAACTATTACCAAAATGTCTTAGTTATTTACTTTAAATATGTACTTTATTACTTTCTACTTTGAAGGAAAAACAAAGATGGCTCAATGAACGCCTTATTGTGATGTTATGATCTCTGTCATTTCTTTTTCTATTTATAGCTTAGTTTATATCTATCTTCTTTGCTTAGCAACAGTGCCAACATGGGGAAGTCGAAAAAGCAACATCATTTATTAGCTGGGAAGCTCTCACTTCACTGTACCTGAGAGAAGGACAAGCATGAACAAAGCTGAAAAGATGGCTCTCAAGCTAATGAAAACCCACTATTTAAAGACCCGAGGAGCTTATCTGTTCAAAAACATGCCTGAATATGTCTTTAAGAAACACAAGTGTTCAGTGTGTCCAGTGTGACCACTAAGCCTGCACCTTGGGGTAAATGACAATGACGTGTTTGAGCAGAAGGTTTGGTTTGTTAGGGTGATATATTCTCTTGTCACGCGTAAACTCCTGAGTATTCCTCGACCACCATGCACGTGTGTAATTTAGGGGCTGAGGTTGCTCCCTGCTTGGCCAACTTGACAAACAGACCAGCTTAGTAACAGAACAAACAGAGCCTGGATATAATACGCAACGTTGTCTGCAGAAGACCTCACATGTATATCAATTACACCAGTTTACACACAAATACAGCTGCTTTGAGTAAATACCTCAATAAAGTAATATATTAAATCACATTAGTAATATATAGATACTGCGGAAAAAACTAATCTCTAAGCATATTCAATTTTCATTTTTTTGCACACAAAAATATCACTAAATCCTGAAAACCCTTTAGAAAAAAGCTTGTCTTGTGTAAGCTGATGTTGGTTCTCCAAAACACGTCTCTACACGTAGGAGTCCTTCAGGTATGACGGGCACGCTGTCAGCGAGGTGAAGTCTGGGTCACGAGCGGACAGATGCAGTCTTGCACACTTTCACTGTTTCCAATCTCAGCAGGGGCTGCTTCCCCGCAGACACGTGAGTCGATATATTCAGGAAAGACAGTTTCACAGGAACTTTCATTACTGCAGCCCCCAACATCATGAGTCACCGTCTGGGTGTGTGTGCACGGCAGAAGGAGCTTGTCTGTGTGCAGCTGGATGGAATGCTGGCCCAGTCAGATATCACAAATGTGTTGAAATGTGTGGGGGGCATGTGCATTTGTGGAGAGGCGCGCCTGCCATGTGGGTGTGAATGAACGCACGGCCACATTTATTTCCAAAGCTGATCATTTTTCCATCCTGCCAAGCTATGTGGTGACGTCACGGCGTGAGTGGAGCAGAAATGGGAGGAAAGGGAGATTTCGGCTGAAAAGTGCTCGTTAACAAGCTGCTGAGCATCTGTTTTATTCACCAACTGCAGGCACGGCCCAGGCTTAACGACAGGAAGGCATCTAAACAAATATACCGATCTTGTTTCATACCTTAAGACAGTTTTGTGTAAAACAGGACAAACATGAAGGGAAAATAAAACCCTGGACTTCCAGCACAAAGTCAGATGTTGGCGTTTTATACACATTTTCCATGCAGCTGACTAATAGTGCATGGATTTATGATTAATAAAAAAACACTTATTGCAATGAAACTGTTATATAGAGCCCAAGTGAAAAATATGCAAACCAGATTTCTGACTTGTCTCAGATTTAACAAAAGTCCAAATTGGATATCCTTTTAGTCCAAAAGTTATAATATTACATAACAAGAGTGATTCTGCTATTTTCTTTCGTTAATTGTTTTGCACTAAACTGAATACTTTTAAGATGACACTCCTGTAAAAACTGTCCAACAGAATGACGCTTTACTAAAACTAAGATAAATTGACTAAAAACTCCTCATTCCAGCATTTTGTCACTGGCTTGCATGTAATGTGTGTGTTTGTAACTTAAAAGACTCCAAATGAATTAAAACATATAAAAAAGATTTGATGCCAACAAATGGACACATTGGCTCAGAGGTCTGTAGTTACAGTTCACCAGATGTTACCAGTTAACTATGACTATACTGTTTCTGGTTGCATGCAGCCATGTTTGCTCTTCAAATAGCCACAAGTCATAAAGTTTGCCAGATTTAAATAGAAATGAGTCTAAAATGAAGAACAAACATATTGTAGACTGTCTTAATGCCCTGGTTGTAAAATATTTCCAGATATCAGTAATGTGTGGAATGAAGGAAAACTATTAAATCATTCATAGACGATGAAAGCCAAACTATGATGCATGTTAAGAGTTAGTTTATTAGATTATCTCTGCAGAACTCATTAATCTACAGCTCAAATCCACTGTGCTTTTACTCAATGCTTATGATGATGGTATCGGGCTGCTAAGCACAGCTGGTGTGATGGTTAGTGTGGGTTTGCCCTTGAATGTTCACATTCAGTGGAAGAGAGTGGGTGGATTGACTGACTGTGAAAGCAAAATAAAAAAAAAAGTAGTTTCATCATTATTATCTAATCTATGCCTTATGTATCAATCAAAGTGCATCATGGTTACATGAATATAGATACATTAAATTGTCATAAAATTAGTAATATTATGCCGTTGATGATTGCTCACCTGTAGTGGTCCTAAAATGGAGCTGGTGGTGTACATGAAAAAGAGCCGCAGGTAACTCAGGACATTGGCAAAGGCAAAGAGGCCCTCAGCCACCAGGATGGGATGGAAGGCGTCCCAGTTCTTCCTGTCTATCTCCTTGTTTTTGAACTGCAGTTTGAGCAAACATTCAGAAATACATTCACTACATGACAGTTAAGCAGGAGGAGCTCTTTTAAAGGCATTTTATTTGTTTGAAATGCCGAAGAAACTATATATTTTATCCTGAAGAACAACACGAGATACAAACAGCACAAACCGCACTGAGGCCATGGGTATTCCTGAAATTATCTGAAAACAAATCTGATTTTATTCCTATGACTGGATGCATTTTACACAGAGCTTTAGTTCTGATTAGACACCTTTATTTAATGGCTGATTGTTGTCTGAGCTCCACTGAGTCCCTCTGATGCACCATCTTTGACAGGTTTAAAATTTGCAGCTTTGCGCGTTTGTTGCAGCCTGTTGCCACTAGGGGGCAGTATCAAACACACGCTAAACAAACTGAACTGAGCTTCTCTTACTGTTATTTATACTGTATTTTTCCCTGCTTTTTTATGTAGTCAACATATGTGTGGAAAAAAATAGATTACATTTATTAAGTACTATATTCAGCCTTTAACCCTATCACAAATGTAAAGTGCGATGAGTTATGGGAAACAAGTTCGCTTGTTGGTAAACTGCTCACAGATGTCCCTTAACCTCAGCGCTGAAAGTATTCTCATTACTCCAGCCGGTATATTGATCCGACTGATGCATTAGTGCTCATTTAATAATTCATTGCAACATTTTGATTCATTTCAGCATGAACTTAGGTCTAGAACAGCTGTGAGAGGAATCTTTTACAAAATGACAAACTCGTCCCAGAAATGAATTAAATATAGACAGTGCTGAATCCAGTTTTTGGCAGGCTTTAATCAATCATCAACCAAACTATTTGTAACGATTTACGTTTTAAATGTATGAATAATTTGTGTGTTTGGGTACCTTGCTATGAGCCACTATCTTAAGAGCGAAGGTGGCCAGGTAGAGTGAATTCATCACAAAGCTTAGCTGGTTCCTCGACTCTTCCAGGAAGTCTTCCAGCCCTTGGTACCATAGACGCTTCACATCTGACCACACCATCCCTACAGGGAAGCATAAATTCATTATCATCCACACTTACCTACATATGAGCTACTGGAAGAAGGCATTTTGCTGCCCTCTTGAATATTTTAAAATCCTGTCCAGATTGAGCAATAAGTCATCTCTCAGAGGGAGCCCTGGGGAAACGGGATCGTATGAGATGCAAATGAGGGAGATTAATGAGGTGATAATGTGTCACCTGTGGGCTTTAGGGAGGTGTAAAGAGTTTAATAAAGATGGGCAATGGCGTCTTCTTTGAAAAACCAGCATTCCATTAATTTTCCATGTGTAGATATCTGATTAAGAAATCCATCAGTCCCGTAGTTTTAACAGGAAACCAACAAATGATAGACAGGCTCTGGCAGCGGAAGCTCATCAACTGTTTCTTCACCCACTCGCTGCGTTGGAGATGCACACAAATGAAAGCACGCAGAAACAGTGAGACACAAACATGGAGCCAAGTGCACTCAATCGCCCAGCATCTGATTTCCTCGTTAGTGCGAAGCATCTCGCTCAAGGGAACGGCGGAATGGAAGGAGCAGGCGAAAAATGAGAGGAAAAGGACAAAAATGAAAGATAAAAACAATGGAAAGCAGAATGAAAACAAAAAAAGCTGTCTTGACTTGTGATTGCCTGACTGAACATTAAACTCATGTAGGGTCTGTAATGGCTCCTGCTCACATCCTGATAGCACGAGGATGCTGGAAGACGACAATCATTAGCAATCTCATCTTCCATTTAACTTTTCTTGAACGATGTGTTAAAGCAGCAGGGGACTCTGAAGCACAAATCACTTTTTTTAAGGCAACTTCTTAGTTGTTGGTCATTTGTGGAATTGTTTGAACTCCATTATATTAATATAACTAGGGATGCACAATATTATCGGCAACGTATCGTATTAGCGATAAAGTTAAATATTGGACATCGGTCATTCCATCAAATAACTCACCGATATAAAATGCACTGTATTTATATATATATATATATATATATATATATATATATATATATATGTATATGAGGCCTTGTTTTTGGACGACTGTTTGAGTGTTGTTGTGTTAGAGAGAGTAAATGTCATGAATAAATTTGACATTAAACATAATCCAAGTTAAAGTGTTACATCATTTTCAGACGTTTTTTGGCATCTGCATTTAGTAGCATGCCAAACTGACAAAGACCATGCAGAATAATGTAGTACTTTAATTCCACAGCACAGAAAGTTATGTAGTCTCTGTAAGTAGGTCTAGGGAAAAAAATATCAGTATTGGTTATTGGTCAAAAACATATTGGCATATCGGATATCGGCCAAAAATCCAATATTGTTCATCCCTAAATATAACCCATGGAAACTCCATGTCACATCTAGAGAGAATAGAATAAATGTAAAATTACCCTACAACTACTATCCTAAAATTAAGCTAATGGTTTCTACATCCTTTTATTACCAATCAATTTGATTAATGCGACGAATGATCAACCAGCCAATGAAAAAGGTGAGACCTATAGCACCTGGAGTTGGAGAAAAGAAGCATTTTATAACCAGTCAAACATCCCAGAATAAGATAGGGCCATTAACAAGACCAAAGATGGATGATAATGTTTTTTTTTGGCTGACGGGGAAGGTAGGGAGGACTTTCTCCAGAGAGACAACCCATTTCAATGACTTTCTAGCTTCATCTGATAAGATATCTGAAGCACTTCTTCTTGGGAGTAAAGGTGCTGCATGCATGTTGAGTACAGCTTTCCCAGCACTCAGATGGGCCACAAGGGAGAAATAAGAGTCCTTTCTATGTAACTCAGTTAGACGCAGCGCTGACAGTACAGAAAATACATTTTGTCACATTGCCTAAAAGAATTATAGATATAAGATACTGGACTTAAGGCACCCCTTAACAGGAATCTCCCATTTTTACTCCATCATGCAATGCTACTATATTAAATTATGGTTTGTAGTATTGACTTCTTATCCTATTTTTAGTTCTACTAGATAGATAATTATTCAGTTCTAGAAACCAGACCTTTCAGCTCTGAAATTTATGGCATGATAATCACATTTAGAGGGTAAAAAAGCTGACCTAAGATCCAGAGGATTAGGAGATAATCGATCATCTCAAGCTCAGGGCCCATGTTGTTCTTCTTGTCCTCGTTGTAGACCAGAGAGTAAAGGTTGAGCAGCAGCAGGAAAGTGAAGTAGGAGGCGCTGTGGATGATGAACTTGACGAAAGGCGTGTGTATTATCTGACCGACTCGGGAACGTGGCACGAGAAGGTAGCAGACGGAAAGCAGCGGCCAGAGTAAGGCCACGGACAACACCGTGCCCATCTTTAGACAGGTGTGTTTGCGACGATAGCTGGCCATCTCTCCAAACCAGACGGTGTTGAGGAACTGCTGACAGTTGGACTGAGCCACAAACTGTAAGGAAGACAATGGGAGAAAACAGAAACAAAAACTCAACTGGAGGAGGAGAACTATTTTTCCTGCAGCCCTGTAAACTTCTCTGATGTGCATCCTTCAGAGTAATCGTATATTCGTTCTGCTGCAGGAAACTTTATGCTTCTTGCAGCACGATGAGGAACAAGTCAAACTTTTTGCACGCAGCTGTAAATGATCCAACTCCTTCACATTCAGAGCTTTAGTTACGTTTCGACTGCTGTCGCCTAAAGGAAGCATGTCAAGCTGCCAAACTAATGTCAAACAAAGAGCAAACGATGTTCTGCAGCAGCTATTTATTTGGACAACAAGCACAGAACACAAGCAACAGACTTAACTTTTTATAATTTAGGAATTTTCACTGAATTAGATTAGTCGTTACCAATAAACTTGTGTTTTTCACCAACCAACCTCTTTTTGGTTGTACTTGATGGCAAGTTTAAGTCGGCTCAGGTTCATGCGCTCCTCCAGCAAGCCTCTCTTGTCAACATGATCCTCGCTGGAGGTGTGATTAAGAATCACTTCGAGCTCCCGAGAGTTTCGAGCCTGAGCCAGCAGATCCTTGGCAAACATCTTGCACTGCTTCGCCAGCTCCTCGTAGTCATTCCTAGAGCGAGGGAATTAGATGCAATCAGTGTCCATAAATGTTTCAGCGTCTTGCACATCACTGGTGACATCTTTGTGTGCACAGATTTGTTTGATAGCTTCACAGGTGGAGAAGCACAGCTGACGGATGAGAACCGCACCTGAACTCCACCTCTACGAGGCTGAGCTCCTTGAGGTCTGCGCTGAGCTCGAATGCTCTAAGAATAGGATCCTCCTCGGTCAGCATGATGAGAGAAGGACTCGCCAGGCAGCGGTAGATGTCAAGGCGGAACCTGAAAAACAAACAAAAACAGAAATGAGGTGGTTAAAAAAGCAGGAGGACTAAAACTGACAAAGTACAATCCGTCACAATATCGCTTGAACATCAAATTATTCAAAACAGCCTCAGCTCTAATATCAGTTTCTAAATTCCCAAGATACATTCTCGCTTTTTTGAGCAACACAAGTTCTAAAATAAATACTACATTAGTCCCTTGCTACTTCACGGTTTGTTTATCGCAGACTCGCTCTATCATGGTTTTTCAAAATAAGACTGGACATGACACACAGTTGGCTGAAAGATGGATGAGCCGCACAATCGGCATGTAATTTTTATTTAAAATAAATTATTTTACATTGTTTAGCACCTCCTGCACCTTTGTGCAGCCCATACTACAGGATAAGCTGATCAGCTGTTTGTCATGCAGAGCGGAGAAGTGGGCGTGGCCAAGAGCGCTTGCAGGTGGCTGAGAGCAGCAGAAGCAGAGAGCTGAAATCATGACATTATGTGCTCTTTTAGAGCATTTAGAGTTTAGAAACATTGTTTAGAATACTGCAAGAGTGTGAGAAGGGTTTAAAACGCCTTATATATATATATATATATATATATATATATATATATATATATATAAAATAAAATAAACTGCTACTTACTACTAGTACTATTATTCCTACTTCACATTCTTTCACTTATTGTGGGGCTTCAGGGTACGGATCCCCCATGATAAATGAGGGACTACTGTACCGTGATCACTGGGGGGGAAAAATTAAATGAAATTAACAAAAGGCCAAACTGCACATAACTTGTGACATATTTATTTATCTAAAAATATTTTAATATTGTACTTTCTGGCATATAAGTCGCTGTGGAGTATAAGTTGCATCAGTCAAAAAAAGCATCATGAAGAGGGAAAAAGCATATATGTCGCTTCAGCATATAAGTTGTATTTATTATGTGTCACTGCTGACCTGTCGTATTTATTATGTGTTTATTTAATGGTCAAAACAGCTTCATTTTGCCTGGGTGGCACCATCCATCCATCCACCCATCCACCCATCCACCCATCCATCCATCCACCCATCCACCCATCCATCCATCCACCCATCCATCCATCGTGGCCAAAGCCACTAGCTCTCCAGCATTCCTCCACTTGCACCAGCTGAGTGAAGCCAGCGCGCACAGGAGGACTCGCTGTTGCAATTCTTCAAAATTTAAAGCATCAGTCAACAATTTCTTTATGAATGTGGAAAAAAAAAAACATATATAAGTCACTTTGGCATATGTCACAGGACTGACAAATCTATGCAAGATGGTGTAGGGGCAGGGCAGCCAACTTGGAACCCAAAGGTCTCAGGTTCGATCCCCAGTCATTTCGCATCTTGTGGTGTCTATGAGCGGGACACCTAATCCCGGATATATCCCCGGGCGCTTACATAGATGCCCACTGCTCCACCTGGGTGTATCCCAGTGAGATAGGTTAAATGCAGAGAGCCAATTTTGTCTTTGTATGGGAACACACAATGATGACAACACATAGCACTTTATTTATTATTATTAAAAAATGTGACTTGTATGCCGGAAATTATGGTAGTTTAGTAGCTTTTTAACTTTTATGCAGCGTCTAAACTGATATCAAAAATAAAGTTTGGTTAAAAGAAGGGAGGAAAAGTGGAGGGGAGGAAGGGAAATAACTGTTTGACTTCACAAAGGTGGAAAAACGTACAGGATTATCAACAAAAACTGTTTGACATCCAGTTGCAGCAGTTTTAAAGTGGTACAGAATGATTATCACTGTTTAGTACTTCTATAATGATGGACATCATACTGTATAGTCAGTCAATAATCAAATGCCCCAGATGTTCCACTAGGGTCTTAGATGTTTACACGTTTTATAATCCCAAAATGGTGAGTAGGATGAAGGAAAAATTGTCATATTATGAGGTCAAAAAAGTGGGAGACGACATCACCAGTAGATAAAACAACAAATGACAATACTCTCCTGTGAGAGACATAAAATAAATATTCCAACATGACAATGGTCCTAAGTGCACTCCTAAACATAACAATAATTTTATGACAATAAAAACCTACAATCTGACAAAGTATGTTGCCTGATTTGAATGCAACAAAACAACACAAGGACTAAGGAAATGTTGTCACAGCTAAACCTTTAAAGAAGAGAATGGCTGAAAAACAACGTCTGCAAAAATGGCAGCATGTTTAGAAATGTGCAACGAAAGTGTGAACTGGTAACCAATGAATTAATTTGACGTGAGAATTAAAGGATTAATGGATGTTGATTCCTATAAATATTTGGGTATCTTGGTCGACTCACATCTTTCTTTTAAGCTCCATGTGGAAAACTTGGTAAAGAAACTGAAAGTTAAACTGGGTTTCTTTTTCAGAAACAAATCCTGTCTAACCCTGAATGCTAGAAAACGTCTTGTATCTGTGACTTTCCTTCCCTCAATTGATTTTGGTGATATTATTTACATGAACGCTCCTACAAGCACCCTGCAGATGTTGGATGCTGTCTATCATGGTGCACTAAGATTCATAACTGGCTGTGATTATCGTACCCACCACTGCACCCTGTATTCACTGGTTAACTGGACATCATTAACTTCACGCAGACTCTCTCACTGGTACATTTTCATCTTTAAATCACTTCTTGGTCTGCTGCCGGCCCTGTGATGGACTTGCGACCCATCCAGGGTGTACCCCGCCCCTCGCACAGTGATTGTTGGACATGGGCACCAGCGACCCCCGTGACCCAAAATGGAATAAGCGGGTAAAGAAAATGGATGGATGGATGGATGGTCTGCTGCCTTCATACATCTCCTCCTACATGTCTCTGCGTGAGTGCAGCTACGGAGTGCGCTCTCAGGACATTATTACCTGCAGTGTTCCCTCAGTGAGGACTGAACTAGGCAAAAGGGCCTTCTCCTACTCCGCTCCTGTTTCCTGGAATATCTTACAAAAAGATTTGAAGCTCTCGACCTTGACCTCTCTAAGTGGCTTTAAGAATCTGTTGGACTCCTGGCAGGGTCCAATGCAGACATGTTCCTGTTTTTAGTTTTATACATTTGTCTTGGAATCTAGCTGTTTTTTTGTTTTGTTACCTTTTTCCTTTTAGCCATCCTATTTGTTAAAAAAAAACAAAAAAAACTGTAGTATGAGTTTTTATAACTGCTTATTGTTGTTGCTGTTGTCCATTGTTGTCATCTTTCTTTGTTGAAATCAGGTCTCTCTTGTAAATGAGTCCTCGAGGCTCAATGGGATTTACCTGTATAAATAAAGGTTGATTGATGTCAGTCTTGAACGGTGTAGCACTGTAGGGCCAGCAGTTTCTGATGCAAAGTCTGTGATGTTAACGTTTAATTTTATTTAAGAACACACCAATTACTTCAGGGGTGTATAATTTTGAATCCGCTTGCATTTAGTTATCCAGGTAGCCGCTGCGCTTCCACATCAAGAGCATCCAGTTGAGGTGGTTCAGGCATCTGGATTGAATGGACACCTCGCAGTGAGGCTTTTCAGGGCATGACAAACTGGGAGAAGATCTACGGCAAGACCCAGGACACGCTGGAGAGACGATGTCTCTCTGCTGGCCTGCGAACACTTTGAAATCCTCCCGGATTGATTGACAGTGACGGATTGATTAACAAAACCGAGAACACTTACTAAAAACGTGAACATGGCACAAATGATTAAATCAAGAATCAATCCTTGTTTCTGGTTGCTTCATTTGTACCTAAACTCTGTTCTGTTAGAGTCTCTGTAGACTGATTCATTTAGTGCACTGTGTGGGAGGGAGACTAAAACTGCCCACTGAAAGAGATCAGCAAAATCTCATCTGCAAGACAGAATCAGAAAAGCAAGACTCACTGCTTAACTAAAGAAACACTGCTGCTTTTCCCCCAGTTTTGATTAGATTAAAAGCAAAAACAAGTTTCAGATTTAAGTTTAAAACAAATGCATTTGCTAATACTGCCTCACTAAATTTTGATTAACAGAGGTGGACAAAAAGAAAATGCATCAGTTCTCTCTGGGGCAGGGGTTATGCTGCAAGAACGGCTGAAAGCTTTAAAAAGAAGTTACATAATTGATTTATTTGCGGTTGTAAAAGGAAGACATTTACAGGCCATCATGAAAACACAGAGTTGCAATGTTTCCTGCACGTTTCACATGACAGAAGACAGATTCTCAGGTTCTTTTAAGCTCACATGTTCAAGAAAAAGCCATTAATACATTTTTTTTCTTCAATTCTGTGTGATTGGGCCTGTACCTGGAGTGTCTTAAGCTGTCCTTCTTGTTTTTAGCATTGCACAGCATGCACTCGCAGCCGACAGCGTGAGGCCGGGGAAGAGATATGTCCTGCTTCAGCAGCATTGTGAGGATCTCGTAGTTGTTCCTGTGAGCTGCCAGGATGACCGGAGCTACGTCCATGGTGGTGGAATACTCGGGGTTCTGAATGCGCTGCATCAGTTTCTGAGAAAGATGGCACAAACCTCTGAAAGACTGTGCAAAAAAATTACAAGAAAAGGGAAACAGCATTCAGTTACATTAAAGGCGAGCTAATGGCAGTGATAAAAACAGACTTACAGCTATGGAAGGCTTTGACGATCGCCTCGGCCTGTGGTTGAGGAGGATGTCCACAGCTCCCACCACTTCTGAGTCTATGGCCACCAGCAAGGCATCTGTCGCCTTCGCACATGCATATAATTCAAGGAAGCGTCGCATATAATCAAGAATGACAAATGAATGTTATTCTGTGTTGTTTACCTGGCAACCATACTCGAGCAGAAGCTGCAGGATGTCCAGGTTCTCATTCTCGATGGCGATGGTCACAGCATCTCGGCCCAGCACGTCCACGCTGTTGACGTTGAGCTCGCCGTGACGGTTTTCCTCCAGCAGCTTCTTCACCATGTAGTAATCACCTAAAGCACAGCAAACCATGCGTCAGAGAATTATTGTGCAATCAGATCTAGGAGACAGTTGTGGTTGTAACAGAGCAGGCTTGGCTCCAGCTGCCCCTTTAATCATGTGTAACAATAACATCTCCTCCAAAGGACAGTTTCAGCTGCTCAGGCGTGTTTGTGGAGACTTTATATGGTCATGGTACAAAAAAAAAAAAAACCATCTGTCTGCAGAAAGTGCCTGCACAGTTAGGGTCAAAATACTGGAATAACATCACATTGGATAGCAACAATGAAAAACAAGGACGGACCTTTATCGCATGCCAGCAGGAAGAGCTTCTCGTCCAGCGTCGTTTCCTCTTTCACTTCTCTCACGTCTTTCAAGGCCAGAAATTTGTCCGGAGAGGAGGCGTCCGTACCCTGATACAGAGCTGCCATTACGACGGAGAGCGAGTAGGACCAAACACTGATTTGCATCCCACTAGAAAGCGGCGACCCTCACACCAGAAAGACCGCCATGAAGGAACGAGTGGAGGAATCCTTCAGTCGCAGCGCGGCCGCCGTCATTGGCTAACTCCATATGTTATGCTAATTCTGTCGCGCCTTTTTTTTTCCCCTTCTTCTTTTTTTGTGGATAAATATTACCTTCAGCTGTCTTTATGACGTCAAACAACGAGTTAGACGACGTGAATGGTCGTAGAAGAAGACGCTGTCACTCCCTTCACCGTGTTTACACGCACCATCTTCTCGGGCTCGTTGCCTGTCTTTCTGGTCCTGATGCTGCTGGCCGAAGACACGCGACTGCGCATGCGCTCTCCTCCGAACGCGCCCTCGCTCGCTCGTGTGGCACGCGCCGAAGCCACGGTGATTCGGGATTACGTAACAGCGCAGCGCTGCACTGTTTGCAGAATAAACATCCAACGTGCAGCAGAAACACACAGAGCTGAAGGGGCAGTGAGATTACAAAGATTAAAAATTAATTTGTCAACAGTGAGCCAGAAAATTAAAACAAACATAATGATAATATTTTAAAAGTGTATGTCCATTTTTCCCGACAACTAAACCCACTAATAAGAATTCACGTGCACTTGAAAAACGTGCAGTGCTTTAATTAAACGTGCCTTGTTCTGTTTGAGGTGTAGTAATGTCTCTCTCCGGCAGAGGGCAGTGTGCACAAAGCTTTAAAGTGAAAAACATCCAAAATGGGATGAAGCCTTCATATACTTGTAGGATCTTTTAATTTAGTTTTTATTTACTAAAGCTCTTCTTTTTTTTACTGTACAGTCCCATCATCATATCTTGGATTTTTTTTAGCCACACAGCTTCAGTTTGACCTAGAAGCTGAAAAACATATACAGTAATAACATTTTTATTGTAGGCGTACAAATTAACATGGATTAACCTGTATAAAGGTTGAATGAACAAAGTAATAAAAAAAGTTATAATTTAGTCACCTAACAGTTATCATTACATGCCCAAAGGGGAGTAGGGTCAAAGAACATATCTTTATCCCCTTCTGACCAATCCCAAATAATAGGGCTTCTTAAGATGATATTTAATCAGTAAAAAGTGCTTTTTTCTCTCTTTTTAAATACGTGAACTCAGCCTACATCTTCCTGAAACCATTGGCCAGTCTCTTAAGAACATCTAACGCCCAGTTCCTTCCACAGACTCCAGTTATTGTTGCTGTTTGATTGGAAACTCCTGTTTTTTCCAGAGGAAACCTCCCCATTGGTGCCCACATGCTTTCTATTATGTGTTTGCGTTATATTTCTGAACATAAAGTACATTTTCACTTCATTTTGTTTTACTCTTACATCTGAGCAAACCCTCCTGAGCATGAAGTGTGCAAAACAACTGAATCATTTTTAAATACTGATTCATCTCTGCAGTGCGCGCCTTTGTGATATGACAATCACATTCTTATTAAAACTGGAGATGACAAAACTGTACATTGGGCCTTTTTTTTTTTTTTTTTTTTTAGAAGAAGGGGATCCCTTTAAAGCGCTGTTCACTTTTACTTGTGTTCCCGAACGGATGGGTGGAGCACGGCGTAGGGATTGCAAACAGGGAGGCGAACCTCTCCGGATCACAATAACAGCATTCAGCCTCAGCTGAAGACGGGCGGGCGGGAGAGCCAATGGCGTGGCTCTGTTTGATATGACGTCACTTCGCATCCAATGGGCTCCCCTGTGGGCGGGCCCTTTCCTTGCATTCTGATTGAATCTGCTCAGTTTGTATTAGTCCGACGAGCCGAGCCGTGACTGCGGATCCGAGCGCTTCCATCACATCCAGAACCATTTCCTGCGCCAAAAAAAAAAAAAAAAAAAAAGAAGAAGAAGCCCCGCTCCCTCGTTTGAACCTTACCGCGCTGCGTGCGCACAAAGAAGGATGCGTCGGACGTTTGCTGCGCAGAGATGTCTCCGCTGAGCATGGATAAGCAGCAGGGCGTCTGGTACAATGAAGAAGGCTCCTTCTTTTTTGTTGTGAACGCGGGCCACACCGCTGAATCACCGCAGCGCCCGGTATGGACAACTTCAACGCTCCCATCGCCCGTCATTGCGCAGTGCAGCGAAAACTGTGAGCTATACTGTGTTGTTTTTGTCGCTGCCGAATAGGAGGGGGATATATTACCTAATCAGCTGCTTCTGTTTTGGGGATAAACTCTCAGTACAGCCCACAGAGCGCCTTGGTGCATTGTCAATGTAAAGAGCTTTGTCCTGTGTTGGGAGCCACTCTCCTGGGGTACAGATGAGAGGCAAACAATACCATCAACCACTGAAGTTGACAGCACCTTGGGAGAAGGATGCTGGCTTTGGGAGGAAGCTTAAAACGTACAGGAATCATACCAAGATAATAGCACAGCCTGGGATCGTGATGAAAGTCCTCCGCAGGAAGAGGATTGTGTTATTTATGGCCTATTTCCTTCTGCTGGTCCTCACTATGCTTAATTTGGCGAATTACAAATGGACTAAAGAGCCACAGCAGTGCAACCATCAGATGAGGAGCACCACGTATCAGAGCAGATCCGACATCCGCTTCCTTTACAGGCCCTCTCTGGCTAAAAAGAGGCAGCTCCTTTACGTCCTGACCACCTGGAGGTCGGGCTCGTCCTTTTTCGGGGAGCTGTTTAACCAAAACCCTGAAGTGTTCTTCTTATACGAGCCCATGTGGCACATCTGGCAGAAACTGTACCCCGGTGATGCAGTGTCATTACAAGGGGCGGCCAGAGACATGCTCAGCTCCTTGTACCGCTGCGATCTGTCCGTTTTCCAACTTTACAACAGCCCCGGAGGCAAGAATTTCACTTCCTTAGGACTATTTGGGGCCACCCTGAATAAAGTGGTGTGCTCCTACCCACTCTGCTCAGCCTACAGGAAGGAGGTGGTGGGGATGGTGGATGATAAGGTGTGTAAAAAGTGCCCCCCTCAAAGCCTTAGACTGTTGGAGGAGGAGTGTCTAAAATACAACACCATAGTCATCAAAGGCGTGCGTATTTTGGACGTAAACGTCCTGGCTCCTCTGATGGAGGACCCATCCTTGGATTTGAAGGTGATACACTTGGTCAGAGACCCACGGGCTGTTGCCAACTCCAGGATCAAATCCAGGCATGGCCTGATCAGGGAGAATTTGCAGGTGGTCCGCAGCAGGGACCCTAAACTTCGCCGGATACCTTTTGTGGATCCCGGCCACAAAGCCAACAAAAAGGACGGCTCGGACTATCACTCCATAGGAGCCATGGAGGTGATCTGCGACCGCACCTCCAGGACTTTAAGGACGGCCTTGAACCCACCCAGCTGGCTCAAGGGGAAGTACATGGCAGTACGGTACGAAGACATGGTGGAAAACCCAGTGAAGACCCTGAGGAGCATCTACCGCTTTGCCAACCTCACCAACAACCACGACATCGAGCTGTTTGCGCTGAACATGACCAGCGGCTCCAGCTCGTCCTCGAAGCCATTCATAGTGTCCTCCAGGAACGCCACGCAAGCTGCTAGCGCGTGGAGAACAGTGCTGAGCATTCAACAGATCAAACAAGTGGAGGACTACTGCCACCACTCCATGGCTGTTCTAGGGTACGAGCGAGTGAGAACAGCTGGGGAGGCCAAGGACTTGAGGAAATCACTACTGACGCGCTCTAAACTGTGAAACTAAAAGTAAATAAAAAAGAAACATCCTCACCGCCAAAGACATTTTAATTTAATGTTCATTTTTCATTGAGTGCCGTTTCCTCTTATTGTGGAATTAAAGCTTTACTTTCAGTGTGCAAGGAGCTCCACTGGCCACATCTGGAATGTATCACGTTTTATTCTCAGTCCAGCTGCAGTTGTATTCGAAGGGGTCAGTTCTTTATTTTTTTATGGGAACACTGGATACGTTTGACGGTGCAAGGCTTTGAACTCGAGTAGTGAAGCTGCCGGGGGGTGGGGGTGGGGGGGGTACAAATGTATATTTCATGTATCTCGTTATGATGACACTTCAAATTGGATGTTTTGAAGTTATTTTTGAATGTTTGAAATTATAACAAAAAAAAAACATTTTTTTCAGTCTCCATTACGTCTGTAGAAGTAAAACCAGTGGATAAAAAAAAAAAAAAAAAAAAAGTTTTAATGAAAAACATTGTCAAGGTTTGTTTTTAAAGAGCTGTTTGAAGTCGGAGACAATCAGTAATTTGGTTTGTTAATGTGCCATATAGGTGTCATCAGAACAGCCGTAGTTCAATCTTTAGATTTTTTTTTGTTTTTTTAAAGGAGTACGTTTACATTTTTATGGTTTATTTTATTTGTCAGCGTCCTCGTGGGATGATGATGATGTCATGCGCTGTGGTCCTAATTCTGAAGCTGTGTCAGTGAGCAGTCCGTTCTACCATTTCAAATGTTTACAGCTGCTTACGAGAAACACAATCTTGAGAAAACTGCATTGAGTAAAGTTCACAGTAAAACAAAAGTTTGCGTTTCATTGCTGAGCAACACGTTATAGTCGCAATTAAAACCGGGTTCGTTAATTTTAACGCTCAATATTTGCATCACTTCTTTTCCTTTGTGAATTTTCTTCTCTCCTTGTAGAACCGTTATCCATGTGTTGCCATTTGCTACAAACTTAAAGGAACAGAGTTTGTGTGAACAAGCTCACTGTTTACATTCAGCGTCACTCAGAATAAAGCAGGCAAAACCAGAAGGTGTTTGAGATTCATTTACTTATAATCTCGTATTAAATTTACTCACAGATTCAGTTTTATTTCTGAGGGAGGTTGCAAGAACAGGAGCCGATTGTTCTTCATTTTGTGCCAAATTGAATAGGCATGCATGCAAATATTTCACAGCTGGCGTAGCTCCAAGCAACCAATTATACGCAATTTAAAAGCATTTTTAGTGGGAAAGAATAAATCTAAAAGTTACGGATGTTGGACACCTGCAGACTATTTACCTACAAATATAAAAAGTGAAGGAAAGACTTTGTTTACCTTCCAACAATCCTCCTGGTCCCTGTTTTTGCTATCACGCTGGAAGTAATCGCTATGTGCATCTCAGGTGACGCCATTAGCAGAAATGCATATGATGTCATACTCATGCACGTGCCTGTCTGCTCCCAAAAACAAATTAAAATGGTTAACAGACACAGAAATACTGCTTAATAAGAGTAAAAACTCTGCAGGGAAACTTTGAAAACAGATGTTAGGGCTATTCAACTTGCGGCCCAGGGGCCAAATCAGGCCCACAGGTGAGCTCAGTTCGGTCCACCATTGGGTTTATTTTTTAAATAAAACTAGATTTTAAACCATAAAACAAACTTAATAACAATAACTGCTGCATATCCAGCCCCTCAGATCTTGGTTTTCTGTAACTGTGCCCCCCCCCGAACAATTCAGTTGAATAGCCCTGTTTTGGCCGTAAATACTGAAACAAGCTTGTTGCTTTCAAATTCATGCATAAATAAAATCTCAGCTAAAATGTCTCTAAACAGGAAACTCACTAATATAAAAAAAATAAAATGGTGTGAATACATCATCTTTCATGCCAAGGTTAAAACTAAGATCTCATGTAGGGAAATGATGAAGTTATAGTTGTTTTGGTGAAACATTAAAAACCATGTTTCAGTAAGTATGAGTTGTAAGTGAGTCTCAGCTACTACCACATCGATTTTAACTCCATATCAATAAAATGGACTCAGTTATAGTTGTTTTTGAAGGTATAGCTTTGGCAGCCATCTTGAATAGTGCTGACCTTAAAAGTAGATCAGTTTAGATGTACATGTTTCAATAAAAAATCTTCCAGTAGTTTATGAAATATTTTGCTAACAGACACATGAACGCTCACATATAGTCACAGGCATTATCTTCTGCCTTTCAGCGGCATTTGATAAATCTAGTTAAGATTGCATTATTTTTGATATTATTATTATTTGGCATTATAGTTTAAAGCCTGGAAATATGAAAAAAGCAGTAACCTAGGAAAAGAAGTAACGTTAAGACGTTGTAAAACTTTGTAGCTTCCAAAAACTTCCTGGTGAATCTGGGAAAAAAAACAAAAAAAACCCTGAAAAAATCTTAACAATTAACCTTGTAGTTTTTATTAAAAGCAAAAAGCAGGGGCGAAAATTACAAGTCAATAAAAACGTAATGTGCTAATGTTTAAACTGCATCCCAAGCAAATACAATGTGTCGTGATTATTTACAAATCCCATGAAAACAAGTCAGTCTGTACAGAAAACCACGCATATTGAGTCAATCATTTTTAAGAAAGTGTCCATTTAAGGATCTTTATCACACAACTTTTGATTCGGTCTCTTGCTTCTATAATTACAAACAATTGACATTAAACCGTTCATATCTGCAGAAAGCTAAAAAAACAACAACAAAAAAAAAAAAACAGCATTCTGAAGATGCACCCATTCAATCAGGACACAAAGAAAGCAGATTTTACTCTGAGGACAGAGGCTGCACTAACACAATAAAAAAAACAGTCTGGGTGTTCACAAAGACCAGCCTTCAATGATAGTGTTTGTGCAGCACATACCACTCTGCTTCACTCCAGGGAAAAAAAGGGATGGGGGTGGGGGGGCTAAGATTTACAATGACGCACCCTGAGTGCAGCAAAGTGCAATCTAAAATTAAAGAACTCAGAGAGAACCTTGCTAATAGTCTCTTTCCCAAAATGCTAATACACTTAAGCTTTCGGAAATATTCTGCTGTGTTGCGGTATGATAAGCAGGACGAGGAGGGAGCTGATGAATAAATCCAGGAGAATATATGTGAATCAGTTAAAAGGGGCTGGGGCAGAAAATGGTACAATGAAAGTTTAATCAGGAGTTGGACTGCGGAGAGAAGGGACAATTGGCAAAGTTCAGATGATTAAAGAAAACACAATTAAGTCACAATATAAAGAGTGAAACCAGTGAGTTTGAGCAGGAGCGCCGCCAAGTTGCTCTGTTATCAGCGTGACTTCCCATATTTCATTTTTATCCTTTTAATTGATGAAAAGGCCTTCCAGCGTTGGGTTTTCAGCAATTAATTCCAGAAAACCACAGCCAAACATTTCTTAAGTAGAGCAACAGGAAGAGCGCTGGCCTCCGTAATGATCTTTTCCTTCCAGTGTGAGCGTTTCTTCACACACACATGCATGGTTGTGTGACCTTTTGGATCCACAGTAACGCCCACTCAGCCGCTTTCAAATGCCTTGAACAGAGTCCCCATGCGCAGTGGGAGGTGGGAAGGATAAGTCGGAGCTAGAAGAGACCCCAGGAAATTCAGGCCTTGTTGATGCACAAGTACCAATGCCCAAATCCCCCTCCAGCAGGTCCTCTTGGTGCTCTGATCCAGAGTCGCTCCGTGTAGACGCCTGCTCCGTTTTCTCCAAATCAACGGTGAAATCATCAAGTTGACCTTCACAGAGCTGCTCCTCATCCTGAAAGACAAATTGCAAAAATATATTTAGCCCAGTTTCAATCCAGACATATTTGCAGGAGGATTAATAGAGTCTTACCTCCTGCAGACGGGGGCTGCTGAAGACTTTAGCAAATCCACCGCACCACTGTGGCAGAGAGTCAGTCAGCGGGGGGCCACAGTGCGTCAGCAGGGGCTTCAGATATCTGCAGCCTTGTTAAGTTATAATCAACAGAACCAAAACAACAACAACAAAAAAGTGTTGAGAGATAAAACAGAAAAAATGAGCAACTTTACTTCTTTAGTGAGTAATTTTGGTAATTTGCAAGATATCTACAGCACAGAAAAATATTCCCAGACAAAAATATTATCTGGCACAAAAAAAATGTGATGCAAAGGGCATTAGAGAGCTAATAAAGTATGATGATCTTTATTAAAAATGTCCACTGTAATCATTTTGGAAATGTGATCAAACATGACATGAGAACTGATCACGCCATCGTGACTGTACTCAACCGGTTGGTTCCTAAATGACAGGAAACGCCTAGTATTCATGTCTGGGTGTAGTCAAACCTTATAAATGATTTTATGTGATCTCATATGATGTGAGATTTTGTATCCGTTAGTGAGATGACTCTCAGCTACTACCACATCAAATAGCTCAATATCTGTATAAATGGCAGAGTTGTAATCAGTTTGTAGATGCACATTTAAAAGCTTAATTAAAATCTGCCTAGTGTAGGTGTCTGCAACCTGCGGCTCTGGAGCCACATTTGGCTCTTTGGTGCCTCTGCAGGGACTCTTTCAAGCTTTGACCAAAACGAACATTAAACTAAATTTTATAGTTTATACAAAACAACAAAAAATGGCTAGTTTTAGCAGTTTTCCTGTCATTTGGTATGGTATGGTATAAAGTTTATTCATTTAAAAAAAGTACAAAATTCCATAACAAAATAAAAAGATACAAGATGCATGTGCAAATAAGTTAATCTAATATAAGGAGTAAAACATACTCACTTTAACTGTATGCTTTATTTCTTCAATGCAGGATACTTAATTTTTTCCACAATCAAAAAAATAACATAAGCCTGCATAGTTTCTAGTTTTTTTTCTTAATTAAAAAAGAAAAACAAAATGCATTTTTCCTTTTATTTACAATAATCTGGTGCTTTCTTTTGTCATAAATTGTAAAAAATAATAAAATGTTAAAAATCATTAGATAATTTTAGTTGTATGCCATTCCTACTGTCCAGAAAAGCCCCCTCCAACAAACAAAAAGTAGCCCACGGGGCCACCAGTTGATATATATATATATTTTTATTACAGCTTTATTTATACAGGTTAGTTTCCATTGAGCCAAGAAGACTCATTTACAAGAGAGACCTGTTACATAAAAGATACAGGCAGATGAGAAAAAGAGAACACGAGGGTGGAGGAAGCCAAAAAAAATCATGTCTCACACCATGTCCTGGTCGGGAAACAATGTAAAAGATGCAAAAAAGACCTTGCAACATAAAACAGCAACACACAACAACATCATAATACATTTATGCATAAAGGTCGACAAAGGCGGTGAGTTGTCCATGGACACTCCAGAAAGTTCCAAAGTTCTGATAAGATGGTACAGTGTCTATCAGCGTCCTGGTTCTGATAAGGCCACAGATGTCCTCGGGAGGGGGGCAGGCAGATCTTCTAGTTTACGTATCTTCCAGGAGAAATTTGAGATAAGTTGGCCTGTCCAAGACCAGCGGGGAGGACAAATTCAGATAAACATTTGTTTTGGGCAGGCAGACTCTGATTTCTGTCTGCCTTCAGTTCTGCTGGTACATTCAATGGCGAATCCAAACAACAAAATTTGTGGATATTCCGCTCGGTCCGTGCTCGTTAGCTTTCTCCAAGGTCGAATCCTTCATGCTGCTGAGTTCCAGGAGCTGCACGTTGCCTACGATTCTCAGAAATCTTGTCCAGCTTGTGGTTGAGCTCGTTAAGTATATGAGTCTGAGCGCTCGAGGCACAAATGAATCCTTCACATAAGGCTGGCAGCTTTACCATGGCCGAAACTGCTGCGATGTCTTCCTAATTTGACGATATTCTAGGTATCTGTCGATTCCAAAAAGCAGAAACCCTGTTATCATAAATCCAATAATGTACACATCTTCTACATCCTCCACGGACAGCACAGATAGGCACATCATCTTCCACAACCCCAGGAATCAATGACATATCCAGCTGCGTGCGTCCGTTCAGGGCATGAGGACTCTTCAGCATCCTGTCGTCTGGTCAGAAAAAAAATATCAGTTGCGTTGAGAGACCAGCTGACCAAATCCATAATAATTTTCTATTCGGAAGATGGGTAAAGAGAGGCTCTGAGGAGGTTGACAGGACAAGAGAGCAAAAAAAGCAGGAGGGAGGGCGAGAGGGTGAGAGTGACCGTCTTTGTCAAGAGCGAAAGAGAATAATCTCAGTTGTAGCAGGTTTTACGGCCTCAGACATGTTTAATTTAGTGAACGAAGGCGCAAAAATGGCTCTTTTGATCGTAAAGGTTGCAGACCCCTCAGTGCTTTATGAGAAGTACTTAATGCTACAGACAACCCTCCTCCACCATTTACTTTAGTATGAATATAAATAAAGAAAACGGCACATTTTGCTTAACGTCATATAACATTATTAACCTCTTGGTGGCTATTTTGGAGTCAGACTTCTTTCATGAGGTCATTGACCGCCAGTGGCTCGTTTTTTAAGGAGAGTCACATGTTAGTCATTCAAGCTAGAGGGACATGTGTTATTTTCAGATTCCTAAACTGTTAGCATCATTAATGTAGATGTAGATACTTCTGTCAGCTGAGTCTTAGCTCTCTTGCATTAAAAATATTATTTCTAGGAGGAATTGTTGGAAGAAAAGCTGAGTAAAAGAAGGTTAGATTAACAGAAAACTAATTTGCTCTTCAAATGAGGAGTAAAATAGGCTGTTATCTTGTTCCAGGAAATCAGGTCAGTTAAGTGTTTGATTAAAATCAGTAGCAAGGTCGCAATTAGTTTGTAAAGCGTTTAAGTGGTAATATAAGGCTATCAAGTTTTGAATCAGTTTAAAGAATAAGAACAAAATTTTATGTGCAAGTCGGGGAATGAAATCAACATGCTCCTGGGTACTTTGTAATTAAAATCACACCCTATTATACACTTTCAAACACAATCAAGTCAAGTTTAACAGCATTTTTTATTAGACACTTGACTGTGTGTCCTCTTTACTACAGGCCTTTAGGAGTGGCAGCATTTCCGTTAGCTTTTAGCTGTAAAAGTTGAGGCCCTTTAATAAAATATTTCCTGCAAATGTTCATACTTTGTTCATTCAACCTTAAAAAAAACACATTCTTCTTGCTGGATAAAATCAACCTTTGCACCTCAAAGTGTATAATGAAAAACACATGATTTAGACTTGGCACACAAGCCTACAATCCTTTGGCATAGGCACAGAAAATCAAGGATAAGCAGGAAATGATCTAATTTGGCACCATTTCCTACATTTATCGGGATGCTGCAAGATCCATTGTTCTAACAGGATAAATGTCTTTGTACATGTCTCAAATGAGAAACGAGTAATAAAAAAATGGTGGGGAAAAAAATGATCCTTGCAGGAGTGAGTGGTTTATCCTTCTGATTCAAACTTATGGACAAGGATGGCAATTATAACCATTAGAGCTGCTTTCTCCTTCACACTGTTGTTGTATGTGTGTGTGTGTGTGTGTGTGCTTGGGTGAGAAAAGATGCTGAGTCGGTTGAAGGCGGTAGGAGCCCAGCTGCTGTTTCAGCCACTTTTGCAGCAAACATCACTCCCACCCACAGTTTTGACGCTATTAAATGTTGACTGTTTCCAGTGACTGCAACCGAGTGCAAGCAAACAATTGTGAACAACAAGAGACGTATAAATGCACTTCAAAAAGTTTATGTATGCAAAAGTCTATGATGACATTGTTGGTGTGTGTGTCAGTGAAAGTCAAGTCAAATTAATTTAAAAAGTACATTTAAAAACAGCAGCTGTAACTAAAGTGCTTACCAATAAAATCAATGGCAGTAATTTAAAGATTTTTTTTTTAAAGCATCAAAAGAAAAACATAAAAACACAGAACAATAAAATCCTAAATCAAATCACACCATGTTAAAGTTAGTGAAAACAGATGTGTTTTTAAAAGAGGAAGTGGCCTATTTAATGTTGTGGGGCAGATTGTTCCAGAGTTTAGGGCCGGCGACTAAAAAATAAAACAAAAAAAACCCCTGGTTTTTGGTACAACCAAAAACAGCTGCCCTGATGATCTCAGCACCCAAGAAGGACATGTGGTTGAAGTAGATCAGAGAGATATGAGGGTGCAAGGTCATTTCTGCGTTTAAAGGTCAACAGGAGAATTTTAAAATCCATTCTGTTATGTACAGGGAGCCAGTGAAGGGAGGACAAAACTGGTAAAATATGATCAAACCTACAAGTTTTTATAAAGAGTTTAGAAATTAAAAAAATAAAATAGCCTGGTTTATACAAATACACTTGCAGAATTTAAATGACAGCCCTCCGTATATTTTGCAAACAGTATAATCTCTTATAAACTATCCGAATAGCAACTGGAAATGCCTCCCACTTTGTCTTTAATCTGGATTTTAAAAACATTTGGGCATCTCAATTACAAACTAACCCATAAGGCCATAAACAAACTAGAACGGACCTTTTTATTAATTTTACTCTTTTAAGAAACCAACAGGTAACACGGAAGGCTAAAATAAGAATCATGTAGTTGATCTGCAACATTCTGGGACGGCTGAAAGTGGGCGACATAAGATTTTTGTAAAGGTGCAACAGTGATATTGAGTAAATAGTTCAAAAAAGTTTATTGAGTTCAAATAAGAGCACACAACCCCGATGCATGATACAAACACGTTTCTCACTCCTGTTTCGTTAAATCTCTGCTGTGGGGGGAAAAACGTGATAATTTTTGAAGCCTTAAAAATAATGCAGTGATGTAATCAAACAATGACAAACTTACAGAAGAATTAGCTTCAGTCAAAAATAAATTCAATGCCATGTTTAAAACATCCAAAACAGTATAATCTGTTGTCTCTTTCCTTGAGCTATAGTTCAGCCCTGTCTTCATTTTTGTGGTATAATATGTAAAACAACACTTACCCCTTCTAATCCAAGCTAAATCTATGTTAACACCTA